TTAAAGCAGGAAGGAAAAGTGATTGCACGTGCTAAGTAAGTAAGGAAGTTCATGCAAATAATATTTTATTTTTTTAATAAACTAAGTAAAAGTAAAACAACAAAATTCGGCTCCAGCCCTTCTCTCTTATAATAAAATATATAAAAACAAAATGCTTGACTTCAGCCCCCCCCCCCCCCCCCCCCCCCACACACACACACACACTCAAAATCTACTTCCGGAGTCCCTGCGTCATTCTGTTTAATGCAAATAACGAGAGTGTCCTTTATTGCCTTAGTAAATTATTGGTAATAAACTTGGTCGATCGTACGCGAGCTTTCTACTAGCTTTCTAGCTGGCGACCGCAGGACCCGAAATTCGTAGGATATAAATCTCTGAAAATGTCTCTAATGAAATGGGACATCCCGGTCCCTTCCTGCAACGCTGTTGCAAAGCGGAGCACAATTCCTGTCTTCGCGCACTTGCCTCCTCCGTTAAAGATGCATGATGCACGAACGCACCAACCATAATCATGCGGTAACAGCAGCATCAAGGCAGATAATCCCTCCCATCGCCTCCGTCCCCGCTCCTCTGGTTCTTAGTTCGTCCGCGAGAGGGCGAGCGGGGTGGTGGAGTTGCGAGGCGCTGGCACTCTCCGCCGTAGCGCCAAACGTCTCGCCTAAACGCGGCGCACTGAATGGCTAATGAGCGTTGCGTCAGTGTTCAGTCGGACGCATTTATGCAATCACTGCGTCTGGATAACGACCGGCGTTACGGCGCTTACGAGGTGAGCGCGGGGATTGCCGCACCTCGACTTTGGAAGCGCGTTTTAACTGTATACCCGACCTACTTCAAAGGGTGGTGCTTCGTCCGATCTCTCGTAGTTATCTGGAGTGGTTCTAACTCCGTTTTCCCTAGAGGAGGCATATGCACGCCGTCTTGGGGAGTTTTGTGCAGCGTTGCGAGAAGCAATGGCTCGAGCGCGTGAATTTATAAACGGGATTTCCTCGCGCGAGTGCCCCGGAAACAAATGACTTGGCGAGCCCAAGCTTTCGCGCCCACGCCTCTGATTGAGTTGCACAGTATAGCGAAACGGAGTGTGTACACGTTTACTCGAACCAGTTCCAAAATAGTCAGTGTGTCGCTGACATGAATGAGAACGGCCATAGCCTCCTATACACTTGCAAAGTCCGGCAGATCGCCACGAGAAGCGGCCGCCGAAATGGAAAAGGTGGAGTGGCAGACAACGGACAACGTGACTGGCGCCCCGCTGCGGCGAGACGCCGAAACACACTTCTCCCGAGCGAACAACTGTGTTTTATGTCCTCGCCGCTGCAAAAGCTGTGCGCGAAGAAGCGCATTACCAGTTCAGCCTACTCATAAAGATGTTCTTTGAAGGGAGAGAGAAAGCGTTATGGGGGGGGGGGGGGGGGGGGGGGGGGGGCCTTAGATCTAGGTGGTGTTGACTCTTGCCACATGAATAGCGCTCCTCATTTTGGAGATCAGCTTGTTTCCAGTCCCCTCGTCGCCGTGTTGAAGACGATTATGGTGTTCGAGGAATGTGTTTTTCGTGCAAGCTGGCTGTAGTTTGGACGGTGTCGTACACAGTTGCTCGTCGCAAGCTGATGCTCGTTGTCGTCGATTGAATATACTGTTCAATTTTACATAGAACACAAATAAACGCCGCATGGATAACCTTTTTTGTTGGGGTAAGTAATTTTTTTATATATAATTTATTGAGTCGATTGTTTTCTCGCAGCGCGGACGAAGTTAGAACCAACGTTACTCGATCAGCTCAGTTGGCAAACACCCACGGAGAGCGTGATCCCTTCTCGTGTACCCTCAGCCGCGGGCTAACGCTGTTCGAAGCGCCAACCTTCTTGCTCGCTGCGGCGCGTCTTTCAACAGCAGTTCAAATCATGGCCGCAGCGGGCAAGAAGGATGACGCTTTACACAGCATTTCCGAATCTATTGGTTATCAGCGGAAACTGACGTGTGTCAGCGCGTGTCTCAGAAGGGATCACGCTCTCCGTGGGAGTTTGCCAACTGAGTTGATCAAGGAACGTGTTAGAACCGCCTAGACACGGGTCGAAATAGAGCAACCATCTTGGGCAGCTACGCGATCATTCTAAAGGCGCAAACGACAATCCATTCTGCAGTCTTCGAAGCGGAGAAAACGCTCACTTGGGTTTTTCGTACCTACGATCAAACGTCCACAAAACGTCGTTCGATCAAGATTTGTCCGCGGAACAGAGAGCACTGAGAGTGTTCAAGGACCGATCATCTGACTCTAGAGTCATCGCACCGTATCCAAAGACCAACGCCGGGCTTAGAGCGCATTACTTATAAATATCGACTCAAATATCGCATTTAAAAATCCATCTGAAATCTGGCAATGTGAACGGAATGCTTATGTCACACGCTTTGTGGCATTTATTCATCTCCGACAGCGTTTTATTTTCCATGGCCTCGACGGAAACCTGCGGAGCTTCACGCCTGCTAAGCTTCCGGGGCTGCGGCAGTCCTGTACGCAACGTTGCCTACAGCTTCGTCGTTTGCTTTTCTGCGACATCCGATAGCAATGTTACGAATAAAAAACCAAAAACGCACGAATAAACACCTTCGAATTGTTGCTTGAACAGCCCCCAGGGAAGCAAGCAGGCTGGCGAAAGGGCCTTTCCAGCGTTGCACATATTATGAGCTAGATGGCGCAACGTGTCGCACCAAACTTGATTGCCCCGAGGGTGTAAAACGGAAAGGCGTCCTTTTAGGGGTTCCCCTGCGCGTCACGCTTGCGGGTTGCCTTCCATCGCGTGCACGCTCGATTAAGCTCGCGAGACGTCGAAGTGTCGTCGAAGGCAGGAAGTTCGCGCTGGAGCAAGTGGTGTTGGCTGCGCAATGCGGGAGAAAACTTCAAAAGGAGGCTGCACCGTCGTGATAATCCTTTTGCTTCGACTACCGTGCGTATCATAGTCACTGGCAGGGCGAGAACGGCGTCTCCTCTTCAGGATGCCCGACTTGCAGCACGCGCTCGCTGCCTTCCGTCGTTCCTCGGCTGCGCCTTCGCCCGAGTGTTGTGAAAGGCGGAAGGCTGACGCTGCAGACGGGGCATTTATACTGCATCTCTTTAACCTGGCACCGAATATACACTCCGTTTTGACTTTCCGTACGACCGTATCCGGTACGCTATATCAGTGGTTCTCAGCCATTGATGTTTCGCAGACCTTTTGTGGATCGGCGGAGATAATGGAAGACCCCGTTCGTGATGAGGGGAAGGGAATGTATAGGTTAATTATGATAGTGATTTATCAAATGGATATAAGTATGGGATAGTGTGAAGTAAACTTCGCTTTTGGACATGCCCATGAGAAAACTCATCCAAAAATTTTAACGTTTCTGCACAATCTGAGAAAAGACAACTTTTATTGCCGGGCTTGACCAATGAGGCAGGGGTTCGCGGACCCCCAGAATGCCTTCGCGGACCCCAAAGGGTCCGCGGACCCCCATTTGAGAACCACTGCGCTATATGAACCGATGGACCACCGTTAAAAGTGCATCGTCATGGCGATCCTGCACCTTTTTATTTTATGCGCGATTGGTTTGGCCGGCCGCACCCACAAAGACAACGAGTGATTGGCTCCGTCCGATGCGGCGAGTTGACTTTTAAAGTAAAACGGAGTAAGCAGAGAGCAAGTCGGTCTGCTTCTTGCGCAGGGGTGGCGATGATGTCAGAACGCTGATTGAAGAGAATAGTGGGTACATCTGGAGGCATCTATAGCATTGCGGTCTTACCCACTCTAGCCTTTCAATCCAAGCCGATCAGAACTCGTCGTCGTTCTGACATCACCGCAACTCCCGCGCAAGAAGCAGACGAACTTGCGCTCTGCATAGGATGCCTTGACGAGTATGCGTAACCTCGAGCCGTTTTGTGCCATGATGCCTCGTTCTCTTCTCGTGTGGAATTCCGTGTCCCACGACTGAAGCTCTTAGCGTTGGGACGGTGTTTTGCCTCCATTTTGAATCACGCTATACATATATATATATATATATATATATACTTATTCTTTATTGTGATTTGTGTGCTGTCCGCATTTCTTCAAAGCAGGCACGTAGCCAGGATTTTGATTAGGAAGGGAGGGAGGGAGGGGGGGGAAGGAGGCCCCAGCAAAGTGGAAGATCTTTTTAGGGGGGAAGAGGCCCGTGCCCCATGGATCCCCCCCTCCCGGCTACATGCCTGCTTCAAAGGGTGGCGCCGTATCTGTCCGAAAAAGGACATGGCGTCACTCCTAATGGTACCGGAGAGACGAAAGCTGAGCGAAGTGCACAAACAACATAAGTCTCTTCTGTGTTACCGTATACGCATCGTTCGGCCTAGAACACACACGCTAAGAAAGGAAACTTAAATAAGTATAATCCGCCAACTAAAGTTTCAAAAATGCGGTATGTATAATATATTCAGTTCCCGACAGACGAGACGAAAAATTGCGTCGGCTTAAAGAATCTTTTCGCTCCTTTGCCCACGCGGTGGCAGAGCTTTCAGTTTTGCGCCATCGACTACACGACTTTTCAAACAACCTCATACGGGTAGTTTAGTGGTCTCATAACTGTTCGCGCGCGCGTAAAGTTAACATACTTTCTTTTGTTTTTCTCGCCGCGATGTTTGTCTTTGCGCAAGCACACGCGCGCGCGAACTTTATGTTCTTGTTTTGTTTGTCTGCCCTACTTATACTGCGCTCATCACTAAGCCGACAGTGCGTTGGGAGCCACGCGTTCGCCGGACGAATCAAGCTCCTCCCCCTCATCCCCTGGCCCCGCTCTCTGCGCGTGAGTATGGGCGAGGGTATGATCACGTGACGAAAGGTCGACTTCTTACATAGCCCAACGAGCTCGTAGCTCCTACCGTGCTGTCAGCTCGGGGGCGAACTGGGGCATAGTGGTTTCGTCAAGACCACGAAGTACGCAGACGTGCGCTTTTGTTTACTGATATGGTTTTCTTCTTTTTTCTTTTTAATTTTGTGCAGTTCCGGTCAGTGTGGAAGTGGAGCAGAGTGTGGTGGAAGCCGAAGCCAACTCGTCGGTGACCCTAACATGTCTGGCCACGGGCCATCCCGCCGTGACGACCCTGCTTTGGTCCCGTGCCCCGGACGACGCAGCAGCGGCCAACGGGACCGGCCACAGCAACAGCAGCAGCGTCATCATCAACAACAACAACGCGACCAGCAGCGACGCCAGCTTGAAGCGGGAGACGAACGTGACGCAGATCTCCGAGGTGACGTACCAGGCCCAGCTGACGCTTGAGTCCCTCCGGCGAGAAGACAATGGCACGTACGTCTGCTACGCGGCCAACGAGTACAACGTGACCATGGCTCTTCAGGATGTCCTAGTTCTGGGTGAGTGGGCCCTACAGTGGGTGCATGCGCGCGAACTGCCTGCCACCTAGCGACCGATGACTGTACGTTTTTTGGTGGAACTGGGGATCGTCGTACTTCCTTGCTTGCTCGTGGTGGTCGCACAGTAGCTCAAAGCCATCGAGAGAGTGTCAGCAGCGGAGCGCAGCTGACACTTTCTCGATGGTGTAACGTGATAAGGCGCGTGACCCATGGCAATGTGCCGCAGCGAAAGGCTGCTTCACACACTTGCGATTGCTCACAACCGTTTGCCTCAACCATACTTTGTCTCTTACAACGAGAGGACACACTGGCGCCATCTGACGGGCAGCCGCTGAACCTGTGAAGTTTCCCCACATTTCCTATTTTTCGCGCATCGTTCTTTCTGTCTTAACCTAAAAAAAAAATGTTTTGACATTGTTTTAAACGACCAGTCATCATAGATAGTACGTACGTTTGATCTTGCGAATACCGCGAAACGAGCTGGTGTATTCTCTCTCGTCGTAAGAGATCGCAAGAACTCGGTCCTAAGCAAACGCAAGGGTGTGAACGGGCGTTAATCGGGACGCTGACGTGGGCTCTCTCCCCATCCGCGTGCGAACGGGGGCTGCGTAGTAGGGTAGGAACTGCATACTAGTGACATCGTTCCTTCTATCCTTTGACGGGATGTCTAAACCAGGCAATTTTTTTCCCCGTCACCACCGAACGGCCCTGTGGAGGAGTTATGTAATCTTGTTGGCTTAGTGGATCTATATCATTCAATTTTGGCCTGCGGTCGCCCCTTTCGAAAACATTCTATGGTGTGTTTTACTTAACTTGTGTCAACACTTCCAAAAAGAAATCCAAACCAACGTAGTATTTTTTATTTTTTTTTTTTGCGGTATGCTAAGTTGTTTAAATAAAGCAGATTTGGCTAACTGATTTTAAATGTTATATTGTGGGCCAACCCTCCAAAAGTTGTGGAGCGTGTTCAGAGACATCCCATCGTGTCGTTTTCACCGAGAGTGCTTTTGTGCGTCCATGGTGGAATAAAAGACAGGTATTGAGACAAGACCAGAAAGTGGGATCGAAATTCCACTCTGCTGGCTTCGCGCATTTCTCAGCAAGGGCCTCTTCGGGTTGGGGTCGTGCGCGCAGGCGCAGTTGCGCGCCTCGCCGCGGCTTTGACAACGTGTGCTCAAATGAGGACAGTTCCCCGAACTCCTGTCATGCTGCGCCATCTCACGGGGTTTGTCAGAAGTAGGAGCGAACCTTCGACACACATGCTTCGTGGCGAGGCGGCGCTGTTCAGACACCGTGCCTCTCTTCTTCCACCATGCATAGTCCAGACTGTAAGTAGCCACGCTTTACAAGCGTGGCTACTTACAGACATGTATAACTTTTAAAGTAAAATGTGAAAGAAAAAAAAATGCCGATGGTGTGTTTGAGTTACATTGTCGCGCAGTGTACCGCATTCTTTTCGTTTGCCCACTGAACCTCACGCAGAGTCCCCCGAAGTGAACCTGTCGTCGCTGAAGGCCGAGGACGCGAGGACGGCCAAGCTCAGCTGGAGGGTGCGACACTCGGGCAACCAGCCCGTCTCGCGATACCACCTCCAGGCGAGTCTTCCTTCGTTTGCTCCCTGCTCTTCCAAAACCGCTAAGAAGAGAAGGCCTGGCGCCGTGACGTCATCGTTAGCGGATCCCCGACCCCCCCAAAGGCGATCACGCTGACGCGAGCTAGGCGGCGCTGCCTGAATCCTCTATTTATGACGTCATGGCGTTAGGCCCCTTGGCTTCGAGGTGGTATGGGCCCTTCTCGAGTATCTCGGGTCAGAGAAGATGATGGCACTCCTGATCTTGCGCGGGTCTTGTTCTTCCCTTCCTGTCGACCGGTACGCTTTTCACATTCGCAAGAAATCTGACTGCAACTAAAGGAGTGTCCAAACAGGTCGCAGCAGACGCCGTGCACGGCATTTGCTATACCGGAAGTGCAGCTTTTCCTCCGGTTGCAATCCGCTTCAAAACGGGGTGTTTTTTTGTTTTTGTTTTTTTGTTAAAGGGGAGGGGAAGCTACTTTACGCTTCCGTCCTTGGACAGACGCTTGGAGCGCGCTCGTCACGTGGGTCCGGGCAGTTACACACACACGCGCGCTCTGCTGGCTGTCGTTGGAGCCTTCGCTGTTGAAGCTGACGAGCAGAGAGGGAACGAAGAAAACAGAGAGCGCTGACTCCAGACTGATGTATTGTGAAAGAAAGAGGAAGATGAGGCATCAGGAATGAAACAAACGCGATAAAAAAAAAAAAGGAAAACCAGTGATATGTGAATGAGTTGCCAAACAAAAGCAAACGATATGCTATGTATTTCAAAAAGCATGCGGGCTTTTTTTTTTCCTTTTTTCGTGCACGGCGTTTGTTGTGCTCTGTTCGGGCAGTCCTTGAGGTACCATGTCTCTGGCGCTGTGCTTGTGAGTTCTTTTCGTCTAGTAGCGGGACACCGCTGTTATCGGGATAGGAGGAACTTGCCTTTCCTTTGTATTTGGTGGAGATGAATGTAAAGTGTATTTTATAGCATTGCATTATTTTTAACAAAACGGCCTAATCCCAGAAATTCATTCGTCTGTCCGTGCATTTTCTGACTAAATTTGGCGGGTGAAATGGACGGTGCGTGACTTTACACCAATTTACTTTTCACGCTAAATTTCGCGGGGAATTAGACGTCTCGTGGATTATACACTATATGTTTCCTCACTTAATTTGATGGGGAAATTGAAGTCACGCGACCAATTCTCCTATTAAGTTTGCCGCTATATTTAGCGGAAAAATGGATGTCACACGAGCCGTACTGTTTTCAGATTGCCTTCTAAACTTAACGGGGAAACTTAACGTCATGCGATCTATACACCAATTCAGTTTCTGCGCTGAATTTAGTGAGAAGTGAATAAATAATAGGTTTTCACTACCCTAAAGTACAGTGTAATGTTTTCTAAACAAATTTAAACAATCACTCCATAATTTCATGAATGCTACATTCCATGCATTATAAGACTTTGAAGATAAAAATCTGCTAATTTTTAAAGTTATGCCACTGTAGCCCCCCCCCCCCCTTTTTTTTTTCTCTTGTGCTGCGGGGCATCCTGAAATTTCAAGAGGGAGAAGAGAGATAAAAAAAAGGAATGCGTGAGACGGCACCAGAAACCAGACAAGCTGGTAAACGGCCAACATTGAGAAAACCGGACACAGAGAAAACATGATGGCGATAATTGTGATGACGACATTTCGACCCTTCCCTTTATGTTCAGCGGTCTCGAGCGCTGGTTTCCGAGTTCACAGACATAGATAATGGTGGAAAGTGTTACACTCTCTGTGAAGTATGACGTGAAGCTTGCCGATGTCGCCGTGGTTTGATTGTCTACACTAGGCGCCTTCAAACCCCGGCCCTCGAGCCAGATCCGGCCCGCGGAGGTATTCCGGCCGGCGCGCTAATGGCCGCGGTCTTTCCAGTGACGACCGGCCTGCAGCCCGCTGCTGCCAATGCAAAAAAAAAAAAAAAAAAAAGAAATAGGCGCTCGTCAGAAAATCGGTTACGCACACGCACCAAAAGCGCAAACGAAGATACCAGGAAGAATGAGCGAAAACTGGTAGTGTTGTGTGAATATTCGAATACTACCGTTTCGAAGAATACACTATTCGATATTCGCTTCGATATGAACTCTGATATTCGTATTTTTCGAAGTGTTGATCGCGGCGGGTTAGGCCCGTTAAGTGCGCTTCTTGCCGAGCGCCGGTGCACTGGAAAGAAGCAACACCCGCGAAAGCGAGCTCCGCGAGTGTTGCTTCTTTGCAGTGCACCGGTGCTCGGTAAGAAGCGCTCTCAACGGGGCTAACACGCCGCGATCAACACTTCGAAAAGTAGAAATATTGTAGTCACGTTCTTAAGACGGAAGCGGGATGGTGCACGCGCGAGTGTGGTGTGTGTAAAAAGAAACGGAAACTTGCTGCATGTTGATATCCGCAGTACAGCATTTTTTTTTTTTTTTTTTCAAAATTAAGCAGTGGCCACTTTGCCTGATTATATGTTAGGCAGGTATGTCCCGACAACCTGAAATCGTAATTCATGGTTGTCTTTCTTTTTTAAGTTTAGATTTAATAAAGAATATTTGCATATAGCCAAAACCATTTATAAATCCCCTCAATTAGGTATAGCTGGGCGTCTATTGTCCCAGTGCAGTGAATAGGAGGCGCCTCAGTTGACTGCTTGTTCGCGCGGCTGGTGGCCAAAAGGGGCAACTTTGGGAAGGCCTAGCCACCGAGCGATTGGACATGAGCACTTTTTTCTTTTTTTTTCTTCGTTTTTTCGGCTGTGCTAATGTTGGGCCATGCACAGCAGACAAAAAGCGTGCAGATGTCCTTATGCGTAAGACGAGCAATGTCTTCAGCCAGGAGAAAGGGCGACGACTCGGCGACGTCTTCGTGCCAATCAGCTTGGTGATCGGGCGTGTACACGGAATAAATCTTAATTGCTTTGATCGATAAAAAATTTAATTTTTTATGCTAGACATATTTGCCCAGCACAGCCAATGACAGTTCTGAAGTAGAGGTTCTATGCCTGTCGTCCGTAGCCGTTGCTCAGTCTGCTTCGTCCAGCTCGCAACTCCAGCGATACGACAAAATGTTAAGAATTATGCAGTGCATATACTTCCAGTACTCTGTGACACTCTTTTTTTCATTTGCAGATTTTTAGAAACCGCAAAAAATGGGTTTTCTATTTTTTTTATTTTTTTTCAATATTGAATGTGTGCTTTCGATGACCCATGATTTTGATTATATTTGGTAAGTGTGTCTGAAGGGCACGTGAAGACAGAGAAAACAGTGAGCGAGATTCAAACCAGCCAGTTCTCAATGGGTGGTTTTTAATAATGTCTTAAAATTTCTTAGAACGAGAGAACACCCTGGCTCTCTGGCGCCATCTATGCAGTGACCCTGGAACTGCATTTCACTAGAGCAAAGGCTTTGCGGTATTTCCGAGGTCAAATGTGCATAATGTCTATGAGAAAGAGTCGTTTATAACCTTGACAAAAATTTTTTTCGAGCCAAGAAAGAAAGGATGAAGCGCGAGAGAAATATAAAATATGCGGGACCGACAAGCTTCCACTGCTACCCAATAGATGGCACCAGTGTGTCCTCTTGTCGTAAGAGACTTTAAAGGGACAATGAAGGCAATTTCAGAGATCTTTTTGGCGATTGAACTGGGTTCCAGGCACGTCTCAGACCACGTTGCCCAAATTTCAGCCGAAACCGGCGCTTGTGTGCCGCACAAATCAATTAAACAGTCGCGGTAACAATCGTACCGGGATCGACTGGGGCGACGCCCCAAGAGTTGCGGGAGAAGCCAGGAAAAGCGGAGCTCACGTGACCGATGCGGGGCCAAGGAGCGCGACGTCACAAGAGACGCGTCAGCGATTGGTCGAAACGAGAAACGTGCCCTCGGTCACGTTTTGGTTCGCGATTTTTAGAAATACTGTTCTACTTTTTGCTTGAATAACCATCAAAAGTATAAATCGGATCGGAAATGATTACTAAACCGTAAATAAAGCAGCATCGTTTTTTTTTTTTTTCTTTGCTACGCCGGACGCGAAACCGGCAACGAGCAACTATGGGCAAACAAATAAAATTAAAAAAGAACACGGTACCACGCATGGAGAATAGAAGGGTAGGAGAGGGCATGACGTCGGCCGCATAGCTTCCACAAGCCATGCTCCCTTGACGCCTCGCCTCTTTCTCATTTTCCTCCTTACTCTCCTCACTTACCATGCCAACGTGACCACATCACGTGACCGTAGCTAGCCTTGGCACTAGGCTTCACCAATATTGCAACGTGCCCCCTCCTAGTACTTCTAACCTCCTTGGTACCACGGTACTCGAAAGATTTTGTAAAATGGTAGCTGTAGATGGCTGTTCTAACGGTCGACTGAAGACCAGTATTCGTTCGGGCGACGCTAGTTTTCACGTGTGGGTTGCTGTTTGTGTTCTTTGACGACGAAAAGAGGAAGTCCGCGGAGGAACCGGATCCCGGAACGGTGGGATCGCTGCCGCTTTCCCTTCGGCATCTCCCCCGCGTCCGTCCTTCGGCATGCGGTCCGCTCGTTGCCGGCTGGGTGGTCTTCGTCGGGTGATGGCAGAGGCCGCCACACACATACTTCCGTTCCGTTGGTGTCCGGTCACTCAACGGAAGCTCGAACTCGCTTGCGAGAGCGGCATTCGTCCATGTTGACAGAGTCGGCGCAACGACCGCACCACCGCGCTGCTATAACCCACCGCGGTAACCAGAGTCTCGATCTCCTAAATACTACCGATACCGACTATTCACACTTGACGTCACTCCCTACGTCACCTCCGTTTTCGGGCGCCCAGAAACGAGACTGGAGATGGTTCAGTTTCGGTTTCTTTACTTCTTTCGTAGGCACATAAATACGCGTCATAAATGTCTACAAAAAATTGGGCGGCATGCTATGTTCCCAAGAAGCATTAAAACACCATCTAAAAAAATTAAATAAAATCGTCTTCATTGTCCCTTTAAGAGGTTCCAAGGCACTTGGTCTTAAAAAGTTACAATTGTGTAAACGGGCCTTAAGGCTGGTTCACACACTTGTGACACCTTTCAACCGTGTGCCTCAAACCCTCTTTAAAAAAAAACATTTTCAATGAAAGGGCACACTGGCTTCATCTATGGAAAACCGTGAAACATTTGGTATTCCCATTTATTTCCTATTTATACCGTGCATCGTTCCTTATTTTTTGGCTCGACAAACTTTTGGCAACGTTATAAGCGGACATTTCTCGCAGATAGTATGTGCATTTGATCTCGCAAACACCGCAAAACCTTCGCCCTAGTGAAATGCAGTTGCATGGTTGCCCTATAGGTGGTGCCAGCGTGCCCTCCCATCGTAAGACATAGCGAGAACTTGGTCGTAAGCAAACGCGAGCGTATGAATGGGCCTCTAGTATGTCAGAACTGAGACAAGCCGATTCTTTAGTGTGTGGCCCATGTCTGCGATGGCACGTGAAAACGAGCATCGTCACTGCGGAGATGCTTCCGGCACGATCGAGTGGCAGTTGCTCGAGGTCCTCTTCCAATGCCGACCGATCATCCCTGTTGGCCTAACCTGTTGGCCCCATGTGATGTCGGTTCCAGGTGCGCAACTACAGCACCGAGGCCGACTGGCTGGACGTACACAACGCAGTGCCTCCCAACATGACCTCCTACCTGGTGCACTACCTGGCTCCAGGAGCCACATATGGCTTCCGTCTGGCCGCCGTCAACTCGGTGGGCAACGGGCCTTGGGAGCAGCGTAACATAACCATGCCTCCGGACGGTGAGCAGAGTGCATTTTTAAACGAGGAACCAATCTGGAAGCGAACTTCAAGGCTTCAAAGGCCTGCGAAATATTGATGATCACAAATATGCCTAAGATTGGTTCAACACATCAATAAACACGGCTGAACCATACATTCACCATAGTTACGACCCCTTTGAGCCAGTCAGAGCGACGGAGGCAAAGCATGTGACAACCCTTACCGAGGGTATGTAAAGAGGCAAGAGCGTAAGTAACCCAAGCAGTTGGAGAAGAGGGAAAAAAGAAAGTCCCTTTTACTCTTACCCTCTTTCGTGTGTTTCAGACGTCCCTATTCTCCCCCTAGGAGATAAGCACATCATTCAAAATTCACACAAACTCGGCTTTCCTCCTCTGCTTGTGATTTCGACAGCACTGTCCAAGCTGGTAAGGTAGAATCTTGTCTCTCCCTCTGATGCACTGATTGACTCGAGGGGCAGTAGCATTCACTCTTCACTAAGTTATGGTGAAACAAAGTATAGTAAGGTCAAAATAACTTTCTTCACAATCTTTTTTTAATTTTCAAGTTCTAGATTTTATTGTTTTCAAATTGAAAGGATCTACTGGGAACACTGAAAAACTGATGACAAATGTAATTTGGGCAGTATGGCTTGTTTACGAAGGGGTAGACGAAAGTTTAATGGCGTGAAATGAATGCTGCGGAAGCTCGGCAACCCAGTTTGTTTTTGTCGCAACAAAAACGCAGTTCCTTTTTCTCGCAAACGCCCCGTATAAAGTCACGGGGCTAAGTCGGTGCGACCTTTTGCACAAATACGCCGTGATGCATGTTGCGCTGTCATGGATGTTGGCATTCCCCCTTGCAGTACCTCCAAAGATCAACCAAGTCCACCTGTTGGCAACGACAAATGAAACTTTGGTGTTTGCCTGGCGGAGGCCCAGCCACGACAATGGGGCCAACATCAGTCAGTACAACCTGGAACTGTTCAGGCCAGGCCAGACGCACAGGAACCAAACCACACTGTCGGCAGAACCGCAGAACAGGCTCAAGCACATGTATGTCTACGTTGGGCTCACGCCCGGGGAGCAATATGTTTTTCAGGTGGGTCAAACAAGTGACGAAAAGTTGCTCGTTGATATCCGATTGCGCTTTTCCCACGCTTCAACGGTGTTGCCTTGTTATGTCACGACGTAGTAAATGTTACGATGTAATGCAACATCTTAGTGTTTTAGTGTAACACAGTATTTAATTTCTGTATGTTGCAACATTGTAATGTATGTTGAAATTTTTATTAAGGTGTCATGAAGTGGTGTAACATGGCAACTGCACGTGTCAAAAAGTAGTTATGTATGTCGGAAATTTCAGTCTGGTTTTGTGAAGAAATGCATCATTGCAATGTTGCATGTTGTGGAATTGCAGTGTATGTTGCATTTTTAATTGTGATGTTAGAAAAAATTGTAACTTTGCAATACTGCATGTTGCTACACTGCAGCATATGTTGGATGTTTCAATATGAATTTGCTTGCCGAAATAACTTTTTCAACAAAACCTATTCTATTGCAAGAGTATGTTGCTTCAAGTGTTGTTCCACTAGTGCAACTTTAGAAGAGCTGCATTGTTAATGCAGCCTTAGCATTACATTATTCTTATACATTTGTATACTAGCTTGAGCTTAGGATTGAATTAACAATCGAGCCATTTCAGCAATGTAAACTTGCAAATTCATGACTTTTGAAAAAAAAGAGTTGTTTAAGCAAAGCAACATTGCATTGAAATGTGCAATATACATTGCGATGTTGCGACATACAGCATTGCAGTGTTGCAACATATAACATTGTAATTGTGGAACATTAGTAGAATGCTATATTTTTACACTGTTTTAATAAACATTGTGATGTGTTGCAGTATTGCAGTGCATGTTGTAAGTGTGTAATGAATTGTTTAATTGTATAATGAAATGTTTTATTCATAACTAAACTTGTAAAAAATTGCACATGCTTCCACATTGTTGTGGGTGCTGTATTATCTGTGTGACCTTGATTTGACTTCTGAGTGTTCTTTTTTTCTTATAATGTTGTGTCATATTTTTTCGGTTGAGCTGTAGATATATATATGGTAACATTTTCTGCTTTCCCACTCCCAGATGCGTGCTTGCAACATTATTGGCTGTGGGAATTGGTCAGATCAGTTGGATGTCAGCACTGCAGATGGAAGTAAGTTCAGGATATACGACTTAGAGCTCATGCCCACTTTTTCTGGTAAATCTTGTTTTGTGGAAGCTAGAGAAATGAAGCATTAACTTGTTTCATGTTAATGTAGTGTCTAGTCAAAGTTTCTAGTTGTTGCGCAAGTATAACTTTATTAGATGCTGCTTTCTATTGACGACACACACTCACATAGAGCATACCTCTAATAGAAATTAGGAATTCCTGTTATAGCATTTTATTTTGCTGATATTTGGTCACTCTGCCCACTAAATCTGTGCCATTTACCATAAAAAAATAAGAAAATAAATTAGCACGATGCTACATAATTATCTGTCAAAAGTGTGGAAATTAAATGCTTACAGCTCTTATCGTAACAATTGTGTCTTGGGAGCATTATATTTGTATCTCACATCAATGTCTGCAGGATGAGTTGTTTGTGAAAAAAAGTTATCAGGATGACCCCTTCTAATTGTTTTCTTTACGTTTTTGCTCTCTCGACAGTGGCTGGTGCACCCCAGAACGTTGAGATGCACTGTTTTGCCAACCCGGAAATGAACATGACCTACAGCGTCATCACGTGGGAGCCCCCAGAAGATGCACGGGGCACCATTCTTGGATACAAGGTCACTTCGCAAACCTCTCTTTTCTTTCCCGGTCTTGCACGTGCCGCCAAACGAAGCAATTATCAATTACAATTACTTAAGCGTCCCCCAAGTTTTTTTTTTTGTCTAAAAGAGGTTTAAGGCTGGCTCACGCACTTGCAACTGCTTACAACCCTGTGCCTTAAAACTTCTCGGGATCTTTTACGATGAGAGGACACACTGCCGCCATCGATCGGGCAGCCGTGGAACATTTAGCATTTCCGTGCATTGCCTATTTTTTTTGTGCATCACTCTTCATTTCTTTACTTGAAAAGCTTTTGGCAAAGTTATATATGACCATTTCTCATCGATAGTATGTACTGGGTACATTTCATCTCGCTAATAATACCGCAAAACCTTCGCTCTAGTGAAATGCAGTTCCAGGGTCACCTCATAGATGTAGCCAGCGTGTTGTCTTGTCATAAGGCCCGCTTCAGACGGGGCAACTTTTCCAGCAATTTTGGTGTTGCTAGCGAGTTGTTCCCTAGCTTTTCCTAGATCCTGATGCTGCGACACAAATTTTCTTGGATGGTGTCCGGTGTGAAACGGACGAGCGACTCGGATAACTCGGATACGGTTGAAGCGGCAGCAGCCAATCAGGAACACAATATTTTCACGTGACAACCTTGTGGCGGTGATGATAACAGCTATAAAGACCTAGTTCTGATTTGAAATTGATTGTTTGCTTTTAATAAAGCATTTCAGAAAGATTAGTTAGTATTCTCAATGCCATTTACAGATATAACTGTGCGTCTGAAAAGCGCAAGAAAACTAGAATTTAATGACGATGATGACAAATCGTAGCAATTCGGTTGCTGCATATGAACGCACATAGCCCGTGTTGCTGGTGTTGCAAGATCAAGTTGCTGGGAGAAATTGCCCCATCTGAAGTGGGCCTAAGAAATCACAACAACTCTGTCGTAAGCAAATGGAAGAGTTCAAATGAGCCTCGGTTGTGCCTTTTTGTTTTTCTTAAGTGTCTTATCTTGCATTTGACCCCATGCAGGTATCGCTGGAAGGTCACGCCTTCTTCAGAAGGGAAACTGGCTTGTTTGACACCGAGCGTCTCAAAGAGCCGCACGAGGTCAACTCGACAACTCACAAGTACACGCTGACCATCAAGCCTAACACCAACTACACCGTGCGCATCTGCACCGTCAACAAGGCAGGCTGTGGTAACCTCAGCGGAGTCACCGCAAAGTCGACCTGCACGTCGCCTCCCATTGGTGAGCACGAGCTCGGCATTGCTTTCACGTCGATGCAGTGGAAATTTACATAACATATTTTTCGGTGCGCAAGTTGAGGCTTTTTTCTCAAATTTCCGCCGGTACACCGGTGAGGCTTATTTGCCTTTTTTTTTTTTTATAAGAATGGATCTGAACCGCGTAAGTTCAAGTCCATACATGCTGACGTGACTTAGAAATCTGGCCCTCCAGTGGCACACATGCAGCTTATACATGACGAGTTCAATATCTGAGACGTGGACTTCTTCACTAATTTGGAAAAGTTAAAGAAAAGTGTATTCTACTCGTGATTATCTATATAGTCGTATTTTATCTTTCACCTCGTGTACGTGTGCCCCTCCTAAGCTCTGTCGGCTGTCTGGGGGCACCGCAAAACGTGATTGACTCATTGACTAATCGATTGATAACGAAGTCTACGGAGATTCCTGCATCTCGCAGCAACTTTCAGAGAGTCATTTTTATGTGACAAAGTACTACAGGAAGTTCAGTACTCCCCCACAAAGCTGTTCTGTTAAGCTATGGTCATACTGCTAATTCATCATACGAAAGACAGTCTGCAAACACTGTCTGAGGCATGTTTCCTCCTTGTATGACGGTCCTGACATGTCGCCCGTACGAAAAGTTTTTGAAGAGATGTTCGAATCATACAAACGAATGAAGCAACCATGCTTCCAAAATGCTCGAGGCATGTCCGCAAATAATTCTTTCATCACGTCTGCAGCGGGCACAGTGTCTTTTGTAAAGGTGTACGGAGCCGTGCGGCTGGAACTTCAAGCTCACAAAAAAAGAGTCAAGCGTTTTCTCTCATTTCTTCATTGCTCGTCGCTTTCCTTGCTCGCAGGTCCTGCGCAGCTTCCCAAGTTCAACCTGCAGAAAATGGAGAGGGAGAAGAGGCAGCAGCAACTCAAGCTGCACCTCAAGAGGGTGTCTGAGCGGAACGGAAACATTCTGTGAGCACTGCACCGTTTGGAGCTACCTGCCGTCAAATACCGCGGAAGCACCCACTTCATTCGAGCACCCACTTTTGATATTTCCCAAAGTTGAGAATTCTGCAAATTACATGTTAAGCGCCTGATTTGATTGGACAAGCACCGATGTCTAGATTAACACAGTTTTCAGTGGAAGTGGGTGGGGTGCTTTTCCGGTATTTTATGGTAGTTGAACACCGTTTCATCAACGCCGTTTTAGCAAATGACAGTCACCTTGTCGAATGGTTGTTTATTTTAATGACGTTTTTGCAGAGGGCCTTGTTGTTGCTCGTACTCCACGAGAACATTATGGACAGACTAGAATAACTACCGCTGGTAATAATAGACCAGCGTCAATTGATCTACTGATGCCTGATTCTACTCAAAGTGCCTGCACTTTGCCACCAATTCGCTTTATCGTAATGGGGCAATTCAGTCAGTGTAGTATAACTGTCAACTTGTGGTAGCTCATCGTACGAAAGCACACCAATACTACAATGATCATCCTATCTAAATCTGGAAGAAGTGATAACTTATTACATTACTTTCGCACCTGCGACGACTCTATGTGCTCTAGGTAGTGGTGTTTGCGGAAAACATCAAGTGCCTTCATTTTCTTTACTTTACAGATGCTATCGAGTAATTGTGGTGAAGCTAGCGCGTGGGGAAACCCTGGAGTCTCTGCCCAAAGATCAGCGGCAGCTCAACATTACATCCTACCAAGAGGTTCACAAGGGAAACTCTAATGGTGCCTATATTGCCGAAGCAATCAGCAGGTAGGTTCTGTTCGGTCAGATTTATGTCTTTGTCTTTAACAGTATGTATACTTCGCATACCACACACAAATCTGACTCAAACATGTGTCTACACCCTTGGATGTCAATCTTTCTATACAGCACAGTCGAAATTTTGAGACATGTTCAACTATGTTGTGCATCATGATTTTAGGAAGTCTTATTATTCCTATGCTGAACTACCTAGGCATGTGGCACTACACTTATGAATGCACTAGGACTGTGTGAATATTTGAATTTGTAATAATAGTTTTGATTATTACGCTATTTGATATTCGCTTCAAGATGAACTGCATTATTCATATTTTCTAAAGTTTTGATTGCGATGCATTGCAGTAGGTGCGGCTGCGTGTCTTCGTTCAATGACTTGACGATCTTGGCGCGTAACAAAAATAAGACTACCAGAGAGATTGAAAAGGCCTTTTTTATTTTATCAAAAGGGGAAGGGGAATGTTTTAGCGCGCACTGTCGGTGCACTTGGCACTCGGCACTTGGCTGTTGAAGTCTTTTTTTATCAGGAACAGTGGCAAGCACATGTGAAAGAGATATGACGTAGTAGAAGTCTTGTTATTGGGTTGTATTTTTTGTGTCTTGTTTGGTTCTTTCCTCTCTCCTTGTGGTGTTTATTTCCTGGTTCGCTTGAAAATTAAATTTTCAGTTGATAGTCAGCACTGTGTCTGTGCACTTCTTTTACTTGTCCTTTGTTAATTGTTTTGCTTTGTTTACACTTTTGAAAATTTTGATCGCGATGGTTTAGCCCCGTGAGCATGCTTTTACGAAGCACCGGTGCGCTGCGGAGAAGCAACGCCAGCGAAGCTTGTTTCTGCAGGTGTTGCATCTCCGCTGTGCAGCAGTGCTCAATAAGAAGCACGCTCAACGCATCCGATCCGCTGCATTCAACGCTTGGAAAGCTATGAATATCACAGTTGTGCGCTCGGGCGAAAAGCACACTTTCAAAGCGGGATGGTGCACACACACGTCTCGTGTATTTAAGAGGAACTACAAACTTGGTAAATGTTTATATCGTAATGCGGAGCACAAGTTCATCTGCTTTTTTTGCAGGGTTTGCGGTGACGCCAAAACGCCGCTCTCAGATTGGCTCGATTGGAAGGATAGTGGGCAGACCTCAAGGCAACTAGCATTGAGGTCTACCCACTATCCTTCCAATCACAGCCAATAAGAGCTCGGCATTCTGATGTGATTGCAACCACTGTGCAAGAAGCAGGCAAATTTGCGCTCCGCGTTCCAGTAAAATATTCATAATTAAGCTGTGGCTATTATGCAAGAGTGTATGTTAGTCAGAGAGGCACTGACAACTTGTGTTCATAATAAGTGACTGCTTTTTTTTTTTTTTTTTTTTTTTTCAAATTTGAGAGTGAAGAAAGGAGATTGGCATATATGGCAAGAAGATATATAAATCCCCTCGATTAGGTGTTGCTGGGAAGTTTAATTTTACGTCAAGTTCATTGTTTACTTGACATTGCAATGTAGGCATTGGACTCGGAGCCACAGTCCATAAATAATGTTAGATTAAAATTAGCATATAGCTTAGAAATAGACAAGTGGAAGTTTGGGAACAACTGTCATGTGTTCATTTGTGTTTTCGTTTAAGCATGCTGTGGTAGTGAATGGCTTGAAGACTATTCGGCAGGGCCGTACCCAGAAAAAAATTTCGGGGGGGGGGGGGGGTTTCGGGGACAACGGCGGCCATTTTGAAAGTGTCTATTGTCTTATTTTCGCCTGTGAATCATGTGCATCAGTGGCATATAATGGAGAGTTACAGCAAACCGGAGAACCGGTCCCGGTTTGGTACCCGGTAGCCAACCGGCGCCACTGCGCGTGCGCAGAGGTGGAGATTAAAATCGGCTGGCTGCCAGTGCACCGACCAGGGCCGTACCCAGAAAAAAATTTCGGGGGGGGTCAGAACCCCCTAACCCCCCCCCCCCCCCCCCCCCCCCCCCTGGTTACGGCCCTGCTATTCGGTATTCGATTTGAAAATATTCGGCCGAAACCATTAGGTATTTGCTTTAAATTCGCTTCGAACTCAAAATCCACTAGTATTCACACGTGCCTAGAATGCATAATAGGGGTTGCAGATTACTGGTCCAAATTGCTTTCTTGTCAGTTTAGTAGCGTGGTAACAGTATTGTTCAGTGGAACTCAAAGGTTGTCTTAAATGCCAGTTACATTGTGATACCAATTTCTCACAGTAGTACTATAGGGGCACATTATATGCTACAGACCACTACAGTTCAGGCATGATGAGACTGCAGAGCACAGTCTCATCATGCCTGCAGAGCATGTGGAAGCACATGACGTTAGTGGCGCATCTACACGACTGTAAAGATCATGTGCGACTCATGATGCAACGACCACATCATTATTTGACTAAAATGCCTAACGAATACATACCCATATTGAACAAATTGTCCTATGGACATCGACGGGATGTTCAAGTGACTGCTATGTAATCACATTCTGAGGACGTCTGTAGAAGCGGTTGTAATGGTGTCTTCTGATTCAGGCTGAGTGTTTGCTTGTCACCCTACAGTCACGCAGCTAAGCCAAATTGAGTCAAATTTTTCTTCTGACTGTTCTGTGACATTCCCGCCCCTGGCAGATACACTAAAAGTTTGTACTAATTTTAGTCACGTGCGAATAGTCTATTTTGAGTTTGAAGCGAACTCGGAACGAATAATAGCGCTTTTGGTCGAATATTTTTTTTAATTGAATATTGAATACCCTAGTTCCTCTAAGTCCTTCACTACCGTGCACCATCTTTTACATGAAAATTCAGCTGAACTTGTGAAGGTTGTTCCCAACCTTCCACTTGTGCGCTTCTAAGCTCATTTAATTTTAATATACAAAAAACTAATTCGAGGACATACTTTAATAAATGTGTTTTTCTCTTTTTTTGTTATAAACGATTTAGGCGGGTATGGAGTACCGCTAAGCTACAAAGTACACTAAAACTGTATCTTGAAAAATATTGCGGCACACCAAAAACACGCTTTGGGTGTATATTTTAGTCTAATACAAGTAATTTTTCTTTTTGTTGCCTATTGCTTTTTGCCGACTGCAACCTCAATTAATCTCCACATCACCCTCTCCCCGTTCCTTTCCAAAAAGTGACAAGTTCGTCGAAGAGGTTGTCCTGGGGGATGACCGGAACCGCGTGTGCTCCGCGGAGTCTGCATTGCGGAGCCCTTCCTTCTCGACGGAGGATGCGCGGCTCTGGCGGGGAGTGACCGAGAACCCAGCACACAACACATCGGAGACGCCTCCGTCTGCGTCCACCTTCGAGACGGAGTACGTGAGAGACGGCGCGCTGGCTGCAAACACCAACTACACGGGCTTCGTGCAAGTGCATGTGCGAGGATCCAATGGGACCCTACTGTCGCAGCAGAGCCCTTACTTTGCCCCGGTGGAAACTGGTGAGTCCTGGACCCTTCCCCCTTTCTCCCATTAAATGCGTTAGGGTTTCCGAGCAAACCACGCATGCTAGAGCTGTCCTTTAGCATCCGGAGCTGTCGCTTTCTAAACATGAAGGTAGGAAGCTTCTGGAGGCAACATGACGCCACCAGAGGTGAGAAGTATGGAGGAACACAGCCCTTAGGATGACCAAAACCAAGAGATGCAGACGCTATTGGACAAAAAGGAGAGCAGACTCAACAGCTGCTTCGGTCACCCTCCCCGAAGGCAACCAAAACAGCTGTGTGCACAAAGTCGGCTCTCCTTCTTGTCCAAAGACGTCTTTTGGTTTTGGTCATTGTTGGGGGCATGTTGCCTCCAGAACCTTTCTGCCTCCATGTTTACAAAGCTGTCCTTCAATATCGGAGGTCGAACTATAATCATAACCAAGGAGGGCTGACATAAAATAGTGAGCAAACGTTCCGAGACCATCGAGCCAAGTGAGCTAAAGCCCCTTGATGCGTTTGTGCTTGTTTTACAAGTGGTGTCAACTGCACCGGTATATGAGGCCGGTGTCTCGTGCGTTCCTTGGAAGCAAATGGCGGTGCATTGCTTGCTCGTGGCACATGTCTCATGCAACCAGCCAACAGTGGCTGTCGGTACTTCCAAGAAATGCAAAGCATGCATCTTATCAAAGGGCTATACATCAGACGATTCCCCTAGCACGATGGTGCAAAGCAGTGAAGCTTGACACCCGCACAGTGGGCAAAGTGGTGAAGCTCGACACTGGAGCGCCAGTGCAAAGCCATAAAGCTTGACACACAAAATTTTAAAAAAAATTCGAAAAAAATTTTTCATTTTTTTTTTTTTAATTTTCGGGAAACTTGAATACATCTAACAGTTAGGTACTGTAAATTAAACCAAGCAGTGTTCACGAATTATTTTAAGTTTTAAATATTCACACTCTTCTACCAGCCTAACTTTTATGCCTTCCCTGCTTTCTTTTTTTGCTGAAAAACTCATAGTGGCAAGCGATGCTCAATGGAGAATAGGCATGTGGCGGGGAGGGCAATGAGTGAATGGCACAAAGTGTGCTGGGGTCAGTCACTTCGAGTTCTATGAGAGCTCTATGGCAATCGCTTGGTCATTAAATGCAAACTGTGAAAAGAAAAAAAAATGTGTTGTAATTACCAGCATGCGTCCTAAATCGTGAAACTTGATCTGTACCTACTATATGTATGGCGTACTCAATTTTATATAAAAAATAGTCTAACTTATTTAATTTTCACGTTATGACCTACGACGCAAGACATTATTATACCAGTGCAACATCATTTAGCCTCTATACATATTTTTGACTATTAGTTTTTGGCATGTGTTGATTATGTTATTACTAACTTTTGTGACAATCTTCAAAAGAAACCTTTCTTGAGTGAACTTCGGGGGACCACTGGGAAGTGTTATTTCAACTGCAACTTTGCCAAAGTAGTATACAGGATTTGAGCTAAGGATTCCTTACAAGTTTGTGAAATGGTCACCAAAGACGGGGTTACTTGTGTAAGGCTTCACTGCAATTCTCTCTCCCTCTTTTCTCTCCCCTAACTTCTTTATATTTTTTTTCTGTCTGTCTCTCCTGGGAACGTGTTTAGAAGGTTAGTAAGCATACCACAGCATTCTGCTTTATATAGAAAATGTGTCACCATTTGCTACTTTTGAGGCCTTTTCATACATACATACACCTCAGCGCTACCTCAGTGTGCCGCAACCTGTTTTCACTGCATCAACATCTTTGTACCATCATACTTTACAATAGATAGCTGCTGTTGTAAACTAAAATTATGTTTTGAGTATGATGTGTATGACTATTCCCAGTGTTAGTGCTAGCTGTTCAGGAATATGGTACTAATTTTAGAAATACCGTTTAAATGATCATACTAATGACATGGTGACAAAGGATCCAAAACTGGCTCCATCTTTCAGCGTGAGTCACGAGTGCATGTACTGTAAAATTCTTTAATATACAAGTCTGCTACTATAGTTGAAAATTGGACAAACAAAATTGGAGCACATTCTTGAAAGGAAATCTTGATGCCTCAGAGTGTCAGCCGATTATTTGCTGAGAGATCGAATTTTCTTTTGTTCATTTCACTAAGAGCTAGATGTAGCAAAATGCCCTTAAGTCGCTAAGCCTCCTAGCGAGATGTAGCTGTCATTTGGAGGGTTCTAGAGGGTTTATTTTCCAGTTCTTCCCACCTAACCAGTTTTGACTACCTTTATGTTTTGATTGTAGTACCGCGATGGCTTCTGCATGGAAGTACTACTTAGTATACTTTTCAGCTCAAACGACGCAGTTGTAAATGAGATGAATGTACCACCGTTTGCCCTTTCAACGTTGTGTTGTCATTTTGGGGATGCAGGTGCAGATCGCAACCACATCACCGCGGAGAGTCCTGCTGCTATAGTTTTCGGAGTGATTTGTGGCCTTGTGCTGGTTGCACTCATGATGGTCATCATCGTCTGCATCATGAAGTGAGTCATCTAGAAACTCATGCAATCGTGTTGTGGAATTTCTGTGTCGCTCAGTATAACAGAATAGATATGTCTCTTTGAAGAAGCAGATACTTAAAACAATACTGACCCCGCACACTGTGTCTACAATATGGTGGTGTGCTTTTCTTTGCAAGCGTCATTTCTTGCTGGATTGCTCTCCATAGATTACCCCTTGTTGTGGAGCATAAGTAGAAGTTTGATGATTACTGCAAGGCACAGTTTGCATTACAGTAATAAGCAAGGCACAGTTTCTGTGAACTTCCCAAGTATTTTTTTAGGCTACGTCTTGCAACCTTCCAGAGTTTGATGTCATGTAAACTAGCAAATGGGAGCAATGACAAATACTGACAAAATATCAAACCACAGAAATATAGAATCAGCCAACAGAATATTTTGTAAAATGAATGTAAGTGTGAAAAAGGCCTCGCCATTTATTTAGGAGGAAACGTTTATGCAACAAAATTCTTGACAGCTACAACATTTCCGACAGTTATGAAGTTTTAACCATATGGGATAACATCTATGTGAGTGATGTAGGAAGCATAAAATCTGAGAGCTGCAAAATAAGGCAACATATATTTTTTAGGGTTGATGTTAAATAACAAATTTTTAGAATTTAGCAAAAGTTTGTTCTGAAAAATAGATAGATAATTTCTTCTGTTTTGTTTCCTTGGGACAGAAATTATACATCACGCCTGTCTTTAAAGAAATCCTGCCTTTGAGGTGCATAATTTATTTGCATTCTCACAATTATCGTTCTAAGTGTATCAAACTAAGAAGGTTTAGTACTATGTGTCGTTTGTCACACCGGCGTTTGCCAACAGATACCCGTGCAAATCTTGGAAGCTGGTTTCTTGTTTGGGTCAGAAAAAGTCGCCTTGAAGATTATTTACTGTGAATGTCTCATGGTATGAACTTGCAATAATTCCATGTGAGAGAACAGAGCGAGAGAGTGTTTGACCTGTTTGTCCTAACATAAGATTCGGGGTTATTTCGAGATGGATTTTTTTGTTGACATCAGTGGAAACTTATAAACTGTCGTTGTAAGCAACAAGCATAGCCAAAACTGAGACCCTCCGTTCCTGCTGCTTATTTCCCTGGTATCGGACATTGTGCAGAAATAGCAAAATATATATTTTAAAACTCTTCTTTGCTTGTTGTGCTGAAACTAAATTCAGAACATGATGTGACATGCTCTTCATCTTTTCTTCCCTTTCTCCCCTTTCCTCCCGATTTTTTCTTGCCTTCCCCGAAACCCCCATGGAAAAAAATCCCCCCATGAACGGAATGGCAGGAAGAAAAACGGTCAGCTGTACGAGGGTCAAGGTGAGAGGCTGGGGCTAACGGCTCTGCTACGGAGAACCATTCAGAAGAATGGACATGTTCCTCGGGGAAAAAGTGAACACACACTTCTTGCTAGGCATGCTGCCTTGGCTTTGCTTGGCTCGGCCTGTGCTCCTGTTCTGCCGTCCGCTTGGCTTGCTCCCATGTCTTTGTTTACCACTCTTTTCGATGGCCCTGTCCGGCTAACAGCATTGCAATTTCCGACTAAAAAATTTATAGTCCTTTTTTGTTTTTGTTTACATAGATTAAATAGCTTTCAGCCATTGCTCTTAGCCATATACTACTATTGCTTGGTGCTGTTTCATAGACTTCATACATTGGAGATATATTCTTGTGACCAATTTTTCTTGACTGTTTCTGATTTGTAAAATGTAGCAAACATTAGGCAATACCTGAAAAATATAGTACCGTAAGATCCCGAGGGATGCCCCACCCCTGAAAGATAGCCCACCCCTATTTTTGGCTTGATTTGCTTTATTTTTTTAAACACCAAAAGATAGCCCACTTCTAGCAATAGTAGTGTTGGGATCAATAATGGCCTCAGCGTAAATGTGGCTAGTTTGCTATGGCCGAATATGAGTGAACGTTGCTGACTGGGAAGTACAGTCGTCTTTGCTTCATTGTTCCTTGCCACCATAACAAGCTTGGAAGGGACACGACCTGAACATAGCAATTTTTTTCAACTTCATTGTACGTTGAAAGTTAGCCCACCCCATATTTTCAGCTGATTTTCTCTTGATATTAGGTGGGCTATCTCTCGGGATTTTACGGTAAGTAGTTCTGTAAAAGTGCTGGTGGCTGGTTTGCATGTTTTAGCTTACACTTTTTGGGCCTTACATTCACGTGGAAGAAAAATTCCTGCAGTGCTGGGCACCGTCCGAATGATTGCTGGAAAAAATGTTAAATGTATAATGCACAGGTGCTCCTCGATCAGTTTGAAGGTTGGCATTATTGGATGGTAGGGTTGAGGAAATCCGTGAATTTATTTTAAATACTTTTGCAGTTTTTGCTTTAATCAACTTTTAGAATTTGGCTTCCTCGTGTTCTGATTGAAATGCTGATTCCTCTGTCCTAGCATGAGCCCAAGTTTGAAGCAAAATGATAATGGCAAGGGCTATTATGTGGCTTTATTAACTTTCTGCTTTGTTCTGCTTCCATCAAAAATTATTTTGCTTGATTTTCATGCTGGCATGCTGGCTTTGCAATTTTTTAAACCTTGGCTGTGATTGAATGCATTTTGCTCTTTATGCATGTTTTTCTAAGTGTAGCCATTTCTGTTTTAGTGAATGAATACTATTTGACTGTGCTTGCTTTAAAGCTGTCAGTCTAGTATTTGACAGTTACCGATGCATAGCCCTTGGTCTGATCATTTTCTTGGTTCTTACAAACATGTGTAAACATCTCTTCATAAATTAAAATTAGAAGCCTTCCTAATAAATGTGAATATGACCATAAATGAAGTATGTAGCACTAATGGAGCATATTGGTACCATAAATTCTTTTAAATATTATCAGAACCGTCGGTCATAGTATTAAAAATGCTTAACTAAAGCTACATAGGTAGGCCATAAATGGGAACAATTTCTCAGTTACTTCATATTTTCCTTTGCCATTTCCACAAGCTCAAAGGTTTAAGCCCATTCCCACAGCAAGGCACTCAAACCCTAAGGAATATGAAACTGTCATCGGTATATCTTTTGAACAAACGTAACTAACTTTCCGTTCCTAAAAACGCTGCTTGTTACTTTTCGTACTCACCCTTTCAACTGAGGCTAATCGGTGCGGACTTCGTTCGGCATTGGCTCTTAGCAAGAGGCTACGCATGCATGCTGCATGCGACGGGGAAGGCAGTCTTTGGCGATTTACACACACGAAGTCGCCGCACGTTCTGTCGCCCGGGTGTTGTAGCTGGTGCAAATGTGGGAAAGCATTGCAGTTGTTGTTCCAGGGGGAAGCTTTGCGGCGTCGCCCAACACCATCTCCATCTCGGCCGACAACCTGCCAACAGCCTTCATCAAGCGACACTGTGACAGTGACCTGCTTTTCCAGAGCGAATTCGAGGTGTGCTTTCGTTACTGTGCTTTATGTTAATGTCTGATTCCTTACATGGCTTAGTATTATGTTGATGTTCGATTCATTCTTTGCTTCACTGACCGGTTAATGTTACGTACAATGCAATTGTGTTGCCTGCAGAGCAATAACAAGATCCTTGGGATGTGCCCCACCCTGTGCCTTTTAAACTCTCAGTAACTCAAGTACTATTAACATATATATTTGGCATTATTGGTAAAGGGATCATGTGTTAACATTTTATTTTTTGGCTAATGGTGCTCAAAATTAACACTTTGCATTCATGAAGCGTGCAGCAGCTACGAATTTTTGTTTCCATAAACTGGTTTTAACTCGATATCGTTAAGGAGCTCTTGTCGCAGGAAAGCCGACGTCGGTGGCGTAACGAGAAAATTGTGGACGCGAAAATCCTGATTGGTCAATAGGGTCATGACGTCGCAGCCACATGAATTCGTGCGAGAACTTCAAACAACCCACAATGCTCACGTGAAACGTGACATCACGTGTATAATGAAGATGATGAAAAAACGTGACGTGGAATATGTGAATTAAAGGTTGCCGCATTTCTCAAATGATTTCATTCTATGAAGTAATTCATTTGCCTTAAAGAAATATTTTTTTTGGCATGATTCAAACCCACGACCCTTGTGTTGCGAGCCAGACACACCATTGACTAGGCCATGTCTGCCGCCCTTCCTGCTCAGTGGCCGGAAGAACAGGAAAAGCGAATGAGAGGGAAATGCAAACGGGGCCCGATAACGCTATTGCGTTCTACTCTTAAAGGGATGCTGAACCAAATTCTGGATTCCCCAAAACACGCGGCAAAAGCGTGCAACGGGATGCTACAAACACCAAAACATCACTCATACAGCGATATCTCGAACGGATGACCGTATTTTTCAAAAAAAGAGGCGCATTTGGCAGGAATGTTGACGTCATGTTTCTCCGAGAAGGAGAGGGAACGGCCTCGCGTCTTCTCCGCTTCGCGGCCTTGAGGGAGCGAAGCGAAGAGAGGAGTAAACTAGGTATCTTCACGTCACGCGCCTCGTCGGCCTGGTTCAATCTCGACTTCTTTTTCCAAAAATGCGGCCGTCGATTCAAGATATCGCCTTACTAGTAGTGTTGTGGGGATTGTAGCGTCCCGCCTACATCTCCAGCATTGTTTTTTTGAAATCCAAATTTCGGTAATTCACCATCCCTTTAAAGGCGAAGATTGAGCATCCTCAAAGTTTTTACTAAAGAAACATTAGTTTCCCTCCACAGGTTCCCTTTTTTGATCCCTGTATTTGATAAGCTTAAGGGGGGGGGGGCACTACTTAATACTTAAAAAAAAACAATTTCTGCAAAAAAAGTGGATTTTTAAAAATGCTATATTTGCATCCATCAACATATAGAGAGCATTCCCAGAAGGTTTCATTAGTTTACACTACATAGGTATTTTTTTATAAATTATTTTAAACTCACCGATGCTAAAGAAAAGGTAGAGATTGAAGCACTTTAAACACATTTTTCTACGTTACATTTTTTAGCATAAATTTCACTTTAGGAAAACTATCGTTTTCCTATTACACTGGGACAGAATTTTGTGAGGAACATGCCTGGCTGGTTAGTCTTTCTACTTTAACATTCTTTTATAATAAAAAACTACATTTGTAAAAAATCACAAACGTGAAAAAAAATGTAATCTTCTTATGGAGTTATTTTTATGAAAAACAATGCCATATAGCAAAATGTAACTAGCTGGGTATGTGCTATGGGTATTCCTATGACTATATTACACATAAAAATCAAAAACTTTTTATTTTATTCTAAAACAATAGTTTTCCTAAGCGAACACACTGACTTCCATATTGTAACATTCGTAACAGTTTCAGAATTGGCATAGGACAATTAAATTTGGCAAATGGTCTTGCCACTCTTCCACTGCAATTTGATTGATATCAAGCAAGCGGCACAGAAGGGTAGTGTCCCCCCTTAAACGAGAAAGTTATTATCTCTTGACAGTGAACAGGCCACTTGGATGGGCTTGCTGGAGGTAGGACAGTAAAGGCATCCTAGGTCAGAGATAGCGAAACAGGAAGAAAGATCGCTGGTGCCAATAGCCTCTTTGAGGCTAATATAAACATTGCATGAAGGTCCTGATGACGTGCCCTTTACAGACATTTGCAGAGAATCATCTGGTTCTTAATTGAAATTCCATCTTCCTTTACATGGCCCCTTACTTTGACTAAAAGGAGCCTAATGCTTAGACTACGAGGGAAGGAGGTTGCACCGATTCTTTAGCATCTGAAACAGACTTGCTTATCAGAATAGTGATTATCGTGAAATTAACTTGAGGATTGTTATTTGCCTATTATCATCATACATAACAGCCATCAAAAAGATCCGTGTTCTAGACAAAAAAAAAAAAAAACATTTTTGCGTTCATTTTTTTTATTTTTTTATTTGGTTTATCTTTAATTTTTTTTTATTTATCTCACCGTCCCCCCCCCCCCCCCCCCCCCCCCTCTCCTTTTTTTTTTAATTTTCAGATGTTACCTGAAAGGTTCAGGGACCGAATGACTGTCGCTTCTGACGCCCCCGAAAACCTGCACAAGAATCGCTATCCTGACATCAAGGCTTGTGAGTTCCCGGCTTTATGTGTTTTTCTGATCTTTGGTGAGGGTAGCTGCCACGGTGGCTCTTAAGCAGAGCGCTGGCCTACAAATCCCTTGGTGGCAGCTTCGAATCCTGGCCAAGGTGCCCTCAATTAGACAGAGGCTTATTGCGGAAAAGAAAAAACGGAGATTTTGGTTGCGCAGTAAAAGATCCCCAGGTGGTTGAAATTAATCCCCTTCGTTGGTTTCCGGAATCCCCAGATCTCCTTCGTTGGTTTGGCACGTGAAGCCCCCAACGTTTGACTTTTTGCTCATATACATAGGATTCAGGTGTTGAAGTCAGGTCAATTTCACTAGCACCCCACGTGCATTTAGTCAAAGACAGGTGAAACTGACTTTCTCCTGAAAAACCTAAAAGTTGCTGTGTCTTGGGCTGTTTTTTTTTTTTTTCTGTTTTTTTGGAGAAGAGATTTGCAGAGATATTTGTAGAACAAATCTGTATTATGACTGGAGTCTATTCTAACCAGTGACACAGGCGAAATGTGAATGGATATTAGGAAAGAACTGGTTTATTGAAACTTCTAATCTTTGAAAGGTAACAATTTTTTTATTGAGCTGTGCCGATCGTCATCTCTGCACTGTTTTGGTCATACGAGACTCTCGAGATGCTAAGCGCGATAACAGCAGTTTGCAAACTGGATGCTTCTGCTATTGAACCAAAGCCACGTAATATCTGAAATAATGACTGCTGTCAAAGAGTCCGCTATAATGGAATGGTAAACTACTTACCAACTTTCTAACATAGTTCATTATATTTGAATGTGTGTTATAACAGAATCTCTAATAAGTGAAGTTGGCTCGATGGCATAGATAGGAAGACCAGCTAGTGGCATCACTAAAGTCAGCGGCACCCAAGGCAGCGGTCCACAGCGAACCCCTCTATCCCCTTTCACTGCCCAGTTGCACCCTACTGAGCACTGCACCCAGGCCGGCCCGCCGAAGCGCCCCCTCCTCTTGTGACGCCGCGCCACTGAGACCAACCTAACTTCACAAATACCTATGTTATATAGAACTAGGGTTCCGTGCTTACAGAAAATCTAAAAAGCACTCTCCAGTAAATGTTTTGTTGATTCGGGTTTATCCAAAAAACATGAAATTTCGAGGTCACAACAACAAAACGAAGATCAAAATGACAATGTTTTACGAACAAGCTTTTTAAGAGCACAGGGTCGGTGGTCCTGAGGAGATGCCACTTCAGTTTCCTTTGAAATCTAGAACTACTGACAAAAAGGGTTTGCCTTTTAACAGGTCAAAGATCCTTCAGAACAACAAGTTATGGTACCCAACTTTTTTTTTTTTCTAGAATTTTTAATATATAAGGACACTTTAAAGGAAACTTTGAATTTCAAAGAATTGAAAATCTATCAGAAATAAACTCCGATAAACCTTGCATTTTCAGGGAAAGATATACTCCAAAAAACACTCTCCGAATTTTACAAGAAATAAACTCCGAAGACACAGAATCCTAATTATAACCGAATATCTACTGTAACCAGGTTTTTTGTAACAAGGTTATGCTGTACTTGGTTTCCAGGATATTTGAAAAATTTCCAATAGTTTTGTATTGTTAACCTTCGGCGGTTTATCTTAACTAAGTTCCCCAGACTGCTGGAGGACTGTCTTTCCTGCAGTGTATGATCAACGACTTCAAATACCATTTCTCACAAATTGCAAAGCAGAGATAATCAGTGGCGTCACAAGGGGGGGGGGGGGGGGGCGGGGGGGGGCGGACTGTTCCGGGTGCAGCACTCCGGGGGGTGTCGCGGCGGGCCCGGGGGGGAGGGGTGGGGTGTAGCCGCAGGCCACCGCCCCGGGTGCCACTAACCCTAGTGACGCCGCTGGAGATAATGGCTAGGCCCTGAAATGCTGTACTCCTGAACACCAGAACTGAGTAATCTTATCTGCACCTTGTAATTCGCCAAGGTCCATCTATAGAGAATGGATTTTTTCTTTGTGGGTGCCTTCCATGCAACACTACTGTATGCACTTGAATATGTGTGATGGTTTCAATGAGCTAAACTCAGGAAATAAACACTTTTTTCCCCAGTGAATTTCATATCATGGAGTTTTCACGTTCTAGTTTTGGTTTGAATTGAAATACCTACAGGGTGACTTAGTTAAGAATAAACACACCATACTGCCTTTGATGCCTAAAATAATTTCAGCTGATTCTTTTGACAGGAATTATTATGGTTCAAGTCGAATGCATTTGTTTATGTTCATGCAATAGCTTGTATTTTATATATTGCAGAATGGTTGTATAACGTAGCCCAAAAAACCGTAATTCTTCCTTTTTTGGGAAAACAACCTAGTTTATCCCAACTGTTATAATTTGAAATGCAGGTACAAATCTTTGATTCACCCAGTTAACAAATAGTTCTTTCTACCTTCGATCGGTACCATTCTATATCACTGTGTATGTTGCGATGTGTATTACAGTACTGTTTTCACGGCAGATGTGATGGAGAAGTATGTTTTGATGCTTGATTTATTCCTTGTTTTTTTTCGTTAATAAAAAAAAAACATTGAATTGAAATTGCTAACAGCATTTTTGTCCTTTAGTATATTTCCATCTTGAGAGTATTAACTTAAAGGTTATTTTATCTCTTGCAGTTGACCAAACCCGGGTGAAGCTTACGGCCATCGACGGGATTCCGGGCTCAGACTACATCAACGCCAACTTTGTTGAGGTAGCAAAATAATTTGATGGCCTAGTTGGTTGAACATAGTACACACAACTAGCGAAAACAGAGTGCTACTTTAGTAGTTTTTTCTGATTTTGGCTTCTTCATTTTCTTCTCTTTCCTTTCGTCTGCCTTAATTTAATTTTTATTTTCCTCCAGCTTGTCACTTAATACTTTAAAATAATTTTGTCGATTTTTGTAAATAGTTTCTCTCTGGTTATTCTCACTGCTACTCTTTTTTTTCCTATTTCTGTGACTTTAATCTTAATTGTATCTTTGTCTTCCTCTTTCCTCTCATAAAACGTCAGTTGTAAGTAGCGCTCTGTTCTGTCTTCTCTTTCTTTCCTGTGTTCGTCCCCAGTCGCACTAATTGTGTGTACTTCGTTGTGGCATCCACTTCTATAATCTTGGTCTGCTTGGCTTGTTCAATTGTAATCACTCGATCTGCTTACGCTTTTACTGGTCCTTTGCCTGTTGCCACTGTTATCCTTTCCAGTTATAGTCATCAACATTGCGGTGCCAACCTTGTAATAAACAAAATGAATAACAAAAAAAAAAATTCTTGCCTTTTTTTTAGCTGTTGCATCGTTGACGGCTGCCTGTGTTTTCAGTTTTATTTCTAATCATATCACCTGGGAGGGCTAAGAACATTCCTGAACTAAGATCATTCAGCTGATATCCACACTGTAGAAATAGTTTTTCAATTTCTACATCTTGCCACTCACGATCCAGTGATGAGTTTGCGATTGTTTTCATCTGAGTTGCTGACATGCCTCGCAGGGATTTGGGGGCAAGAAGATGTTCATCTGTGCTCAAGGCCCGCTGGATCGGACCGTGACGGACTTCTGGAGGATGATCTGGGAGCACCGTGTCTCCGTCATCGTGATGCTCACTGGCATTGAAGAGAACGGAAAGGTAACGAGGCACAACAATGTCACGGTACTGAGTCTCGAAACACACGAGGCTCTCGCAAGAGCTGTCAAAACCCTCCTTATAATAAAACCAGCTTCATTTTTAGTCCGAGGTTTGCTTGATGGGTCCCATAATCTATTAGTTTGTAAACTAGAGCAATTGTTACGAGACAGAATTAGCTGCTTGCTTCATCTATGGAGATTGAGCCTAAGCAACCGTTCAAAAGAAAAAATTATTTTCGTGGATTGAAGAAAGTGTCTCTAAGAAGTTAAGAAAATAAGCCTCAAAGAAGTTGTCCGTTATTAAAATGTTAGCTGCCACTTTGAGACTTCCAAAGGGTCCCTTTTCAGGTTTGTCCCCCTAGGTTTGACTATCCTTGTGATCTGTTAGCCCTTTTGTGTTCTGGATGTTCTACAAACAAGTAGATGGGACATGTTTCTTCTTGACAGTCTGTTTTGAATGCATTTGTATAGGTAATTCTGGGGTTCCATAGAGCAGCGTTTCCCAAGCTCTAGGCCACAGATCCAAAGGGAGGTCGTGACAGATTCAGCGGGGCATTAATTGTGTGACTGCTGAACTTGAAAAAATGCAAACCTGGCTTGTCTTCGGTGCCATCGATAAAAAAACAAAGTACCGGTCACAGCTTTACATTGAGCCGGAACAGAGAGTTGCAGCATCCAAGCTCCACCGTCGTTTTGAGGCACTGTGTTCTAACAAATAAGCTCCCTTTAGTCATTCGAAACAGTCATTCCCACTGGCATGTGTTCTTTCCTTCTCTTTTTGTGATAGTTCCTTGCCCAGCCGATTCACTCTTACTATATTAACCATTCCTTTTCATGCACCGAAATCAATAAGCTTATGCCGTCATGAAAAGCCGTGGGAAAGGTTGCGACACAACATTAAATATTCTTGATGGTTCACATGCTGTAACAGAGTTTAGCAAGCACTGCCGTAGAGTCTTGTCGATGCATGCACTATATCTTTTTGTTGTCTCCTGTGCAGGTCAAGTGCGCACAGTACTGGTCGGATGACGGCACGAAGGAAATCGAGAAGCAGTACACAGTCAGGGTGATGACGACAAAGAAGTACTCGGACTACATCGTCAGGCGCTTTTTTGTGGAGCACACTGAGGTCAGTCCTGTCTAAAGGAGCCCAAGAAATTTGCAATTATTTTCTTAGAGAGAACGGGATTGCATCCAGAAAGAAAGCTAAATTTTGTGAGCACGTAAAGTAACCTTGGTATAGCTTTCGCTTACCGTAACACCCCGAGAGATAGCCCACCTAAAGTCAGGAGCAAATCGGGTGAAAATTAGCAAGGTGGGCTAACTTTTGGTGTGCCATCGAAACAAGTTGAACAAATGGTATATTTAGGTTATGTGTCCCTGCCAAACTAAGGGGCAATGAAGCAATGGTGACCGTACTTCCCAGTCAGCAATGTTCACTTATATCGCACCATATACGTACTAGCCGCATTTATGCCAAGGCAACCATTTATCCGGAGACTATGATTACTAGAAGTGGGCTATCTTTTTGTGTTTAAGAAAAAATAGCAACTCGACCCAAAAATAGGAGTGGGTTATTTTTCTGGAGGGAGGGGGGCATTCCTCAGGATATTGAAGTATAAGGAGGATATGTACTTTTTACAGCAATAGCTGTTATGAGCTCTTCCAACCACTGGAAATAACGTCTGTTGTTGATGTTCAGTGGTTGATATCGGGGTTGCTGTTGCCAAATCCTTAAAAAAGATTGCCCGCCTTTGACCTTCAATTCCTGCCTTTCACAAGAATCGAACCTGGGTTTCTGTGTGCAAAGCAAAGGTGTTACCACTGAGCTATGCTACGGCATTAACAACCCGCTCTATACTTAGGTTTTTGTAGAACCCAATGCTCACTCCACACGCTCTTTGGGAAGAAAAAATAGCCGTCGGTGCCGAGAGCTCGTGCCGGAAAAAGTAGCCGTCATTCAGTGCCAAGAGCTCGTGCCAGGAGATGCACTTTCACGCACTCCGGAACAAAAAAGAAACAAAAGCATACGCTACAGAATGGTCAGATGTCTCTTTTTTACAGCGGAGTTGTTAAGGGCTAGTTTCTCCAGTATCGTGTCCGTGGACAAACAAATGTCGACACAGAACTTCCGACAGCTACCGCCGTCGCTCATAGATGGCGGCAACCTTTCCAGCCTTTCCACTCTGGTTTTCACCAGAGTGGAATGGCTGAATTTCTCTAGGCGTCATCCTAGAAGTCGTCCTCTAGACGACGCCTAGCTCTTTGAGTCGCTCCCCAGGGTTAACCTGGAAGTCGTCCTTGAGGTTGTTCTTGAGGTCGTCCTAGAAGTCATCCTTGAGGTCATCCTGAACATCGTCATCGAGGTCATCCTAGAAGTCGTCCTTGAGGTCGTCCTAGACGTCGTCCCTCAGATTGTTTGAGGCGTCATCCTTGAGGTCGTCCTAGACGTTGTCTTAGACGTCGTCCTCTAGGCATTGTCCTTGAGGTTGTCCTAGACGTCGTTCTCTAAGTATCATACTGAAGGTTGTAAAGATAACAGCTTTGCTGGTCCTCCATCTTCAAGTGAGGTGGAAGGGCTGTACATTTTTTTTTTTTTTTTTGTAGTACCCGATGCCCACTGCACGCACTCTTTGGAAGAAAAAATAACCTAGAAGAAAGTGGCATCGTAGCACTCTCAATGCCAAGAGCTTATGCTGGGAAACACACTTTCATGCACTCTGGAACAAAACAGAAACAAAAGCGTTTGGAACAAAATGGTTAGATGCTTATTTTGTTCTAAACGATTTTGTTCACACACCCCACGGTGCATGAATGCGATGCCGATGCCCAACGACTTTGCCGTGAAGTTTCGCAGCTATTGCTCTGACTGTACTGTTAATTAACACAGGACTGCTCAATTTTTTTATGGGTGGATCCATAAGTGAGAACACATTCAATTAAGAGTGTATAGAATTGCATTGAGTATGGTTAATCAAATCTCTGGGAATGCCAGCTCCTGTTTACATTTTGTCTTTTCTCTGGCACAACTATGGGTCAAGGAAGTACACGTTTCAGAAGATCATGTGCATGGACACACATTGAAAGTTTTCATTTCAATTGCTGTACCTTTCATTTGCTGTCCACAATAATCGAAAAGATGTTGTTTATTTAACAAGGTTTACTGCTGTTATGCAGAAGACATAACACAGCTATGTTTGCCATGTTAGATTAAATTACTTCAATAGCTCGATTGCGTAATATTTGTGTTGTAGCACAGTGACCCAAACGCACTACATCATACAGTCGCAATGTCACCGGCAACAATCCGATGAATCAAAAGAGATATGCAATGAGCACACAGATGCATTCTAGGCACTGTAATCTTGATGTTTCTGGATGTTTGATGATGATGTTGATGCATCATTTTGCAACGGCAGGGTGGCATTGCTGAGGAGCGAGAGATGCTGCAGTTTCACTTCACTATGTGGAAGGACTTCCTGGCACCTGAGCAGCCCTCGTGGCTGCTACGCTTCATTAAGCGCGTCAATGAACACTACGTCTCCGACCGTGGCCCACTCCTAGTCCACTGCAGGTCTGTGTCTCCCCTTTAGATATTTTTCCAAATCTACTACAGTCGAACCTCGATATAACGAACTGCAATGTAACGAAATCCTCGATCTAACGAAGTATTTTATTTTTCATGATTTCTTGCCCATAAACCCCATGTATTTTTAGTCTCTATATAACGAAGTCTATTTTGCTGCTATTTCAATATAACGAAGCGCCATTGCCATACAAGGCAATAAATAAATAGACTCTAAAAAACAACTTTGCAAAAAAATTGTGGTTAGAAAAAAATTATGCGCAAACGCGAGCGCTTGATAGTTACTTCAGGGGGACAGGCCTTCCAACGTTCCTAGGGTGCCCGAAGATGCGGCGCCGGTAGCGCCGGCGAGGCATGCGGCAAAGCGGATTCCGCGGGGCTGGCCAGAAAATGCAGAGCAAAAAGTTTACACGGCATAACAGCATCACCACTGACATTCACTGATCATCATAGTCCACTGTACCGCGGGTAGCGCGGGAGCCAACTTCAGCGGGGGAGCGATGTGATGGCGCGACCGCACGGGCAGTGCCATCTAGGAGAAGACCGAGAAGACAGATTATCGTCTTGCGAGCGTGATGTAAAGCAAAGGCGCAAGCACACTGTGGGTGCAAGGGGGCAAGTAAACTGTGCGGGCAAGAGTGCTGTGTCGGTTGGAAACATTGGCACCGCCTAAACTAAACAGCTTTATTTTTCAACCGGGCGGTTCACTCACATGCTTGCTGCCATAAGGAAACGTAAAGTTCTTTCTTTGGATGAGAAAGCAAACGTTTTGGACGCCATCCTGAAGAAACTGCCGAGATCACGAGCACTCGGGAAGTGCTCGACGCAATGGATGTACTGAGGAGGTACACGGCGTCGCATGGGCAGCAAGATGCCGTGCAAGCGCTCTGGGCGCTCGAACGCCGTATGACGCCGCTGCTACTGTCGGACAATGCGCAAGCAAAACTCGCGGACTACTTTGCCCCTAAATAAATGTCATTTTCGGTAAGTTTTCATACCCGTAAAATGTTTCGGAATTTTTTTTTTTGCATGCTAAAGCCAAATTTCAATTTAGCGAAATTTCAATGTAACGAAGTAAATTGCGAATTTTACCGACTTCGTTACATTGAGGTTTAACTGTATATACAGTAAAACCTCGTTATAACAAAGTTGAAGGAGCGATCGTACTTATTTCGTTATAACCATTAGTTTGTTATAGCCAATGTCCATTTCTTCCCTATTAGCAAGCAAGGGGAATTATGATTGCTTTGTTATATCCATTAGTTTGTTATATCCCATTTTGTTATAACGAGGTTTTACTGTACCATTAAAATATTTATGGCAAATTGCTTGGCAATTGTGTTGCATATATGAAACGTTCTAGCATCATAAACGTTTAGCAATAGTACTCTGAGTTTCCAGACACCAGACGCCTATGTTCACGGCGCTATTCATCAGATAGTTTAATGCATATCATGTGTTGACTTGATGGTTGTTCCGTTCCTAGAATGAAAAACCGCTAATTGGTCTGATAAACTCGACGATTTTCCAGAGCCTTCCATACTCTCGAGCCCCTGTCCTTCGGTGTGCACAGGTGGTGGAGCTCCTCCTCACCTACACCTCTGGTGACATGACCTCCCCATTAACAAATCAGCTTTGAGCACCTCACTTCTCCTCTCCCACTCGTCAACCAATCAGCATCGAGCCTCGCGGCCACGCTTTTATCCAGCCTTCACAAAATACAGAACACCTACCCAAAGAAAGTTTCATGTTAAAAAGTTACCTTTAGCACGCTGCCATGTTCGTCTACTGAGCTGTGGAATTTGTTCTAAGCACGCGCTGTAGCTCTCTCGTGCAGAATATTAGATACCACGCACGCGTCTGCAACCCAGTGACTCTGCATTTTTTGCCTGGTTGATGGGTGCTGGAAAGATTGATATAGGTAGTTTGACCATTTCACGAAAAAAGCTTGTGAGCCTACTCTCCCACTGTAAGCGCAAAATGAGTCAATCACTGTGCTTTATATAATTTGAGCACTGAATATGATATTTAGATACTGTCGATCGGGGTCAAAGGTGCAGTCCATACTGGAATTCAAACGTCACATTCGGCATCCCAGTTCAGGCCAGTTTTCGGGGTTCGGAGATTATCGTGGTGCCACGAAATGCACCGAACTTCTTCCACGAGTGGTAATAATTGGCTGCCATATTCCTTGCTAAAAATGAGTTACGTCGGAAGTTTGACCCACTCAGGGCAAATTTTAGTAACAGTATCACTCTCAAAGTATTCTTTGTCCCATTTCTGCTCTTATTTTCTTACTTACTCTGGTGTGGGTTTCGTAGGCCTTTAGGCAGTTTAAAAGCCTTTCTCATTACCTTTTCCTAAAAGAGAAAAATAAAATGTTAACTAGGGTACTATTTTTTTTTTGGAATGAGAACAACTTGCCCTCAAAATGGCACTCCTATTTCTGCTTATAGGTGTATGAAAAATTTACGAAAATGCATAGCTTTGGCTACTATTCTTAATTTGGCTAATGGCTAAATCTTATAGCCGCCCTGACAACAGCGAGAAATTCACAACTTACCCTCTCCAGGCTCTTCCGTACATGTGTAACTGTGTTTCTCTCTATTCAGTGTCTAAGCCTATGCAAATGTTTTGCATGGGCAGGTATAAGTTTGCAAAAGAGAGCAAAATAAAGAAATTAAAAGTAATGGTGTGAAAATTGGAGCAAATGGAGTAAAACAGGTGAATAAAAACAACAATCAATAAGGAATGTAATAGAGTTGTGAAATAAGAAAGGAAAGTCAGTGACTTGAAGCTATGGTGTAAGCTAGTCACATAGACCTTTTCACAACCCCATCAAGCAACATTGATAGTTGCCATTCCGGAGCACGAAGCACGTGATTGGATTTGAGAATCCTTGCCGAACATTTGCGTAGCACTCGCACTCAATACGAACAGTCGGGTTTACATTGAGTGCTTACGCAGGCCTCGTCCTCAAAGTTCACGATCAAACTATTGCAAACCCAGATAATTGGTGCAGCATGCTACCGGATGGTGCACACCTTAGAGGAGGGTCTATTGTGCGTGCACGGTGCATTTAAGGTTTTACGCCGTCTCTTTTCACTACAGCGCTGGCGTTGGTCGCACTGGGACATTTGTGGCCATCGATTCTCTTTTGGAAGAGTTGGAGAAAACAGAGGAAGTGGACATCTTCAGCTGCGTGAGCAGTCTTCGGAAGCAGAGAAACTTTCTGGTACAATCCCTGGTAAGGAGCCCTTCTGGTTTTTCAAACGACTCCTGGTCTTGGGACCACCGAATCCTCGCAACACTGAGGCCACGGTTGATTATTGGTCGAGTTGCCGAAGGTATTTTTTTTCTGGAGGGCTGCCCTGGGTATTTGACCAGCCACTGCATGTAACGTCGAGGCTAGAAGAGCTCTATTGAAGCATAGAACAGTTTAGGCAAAATTAAATGCAGACATCATTTTACTTGAAAAGGTATTATAGAATGCCTTTTGTGTAACGTTTGTACTACAAGTTGCGCAAGTTTGTTACTAGCATTAGTATAGTTTAGTGTATCAGTGTTGGATAATAAATATATATCATATCGTGCATTTAGAATTCTTTTAGTTCCCGTAATACCAATATACATATGGTCAGTAACCTGAAGTTTGTGTTGAATGAAAAAAATTAAAATCTATAGCATCATGTGTCATTATCCCGCTAAGAACTGGTACCATTTCTGCCCACGTAACAACATTGATTTATATGACAAAATGATTTTGATTATCAGCATTATTTTGATATACCTTTGCGATAGTGTTGTAATATGTAATTAATTTTATTGTGCGACAGCATTGCCCTGAGATTTGCTGTATGATGACAGTAGTTTAAAACTTCGCGGGTGACAATAATCTGCTCGCCTTTCAGATGTGACTACATTAGCTTAAAACTTCTTGGGAGACAGCATGGTTTTGATCTTTCGATTGTGACAAGGATTTTTGTGTTGTGACAACATTGCTCTGAACTTTCTTGTGTGGCAACAATGGTTTGAGCCTTCTCACTTGACAGCATCACTGTTTTAAACAATATTGTTATACAGTAAGAGCATGTCCTTTATTTGTGCAGAAACAGTACATCTTCATTTACCGGGCACTGTTGGAGCACGCTCAGTTTGGGGACACCGAGATTGAAATTCAACACCTGAGGGACCATTATCTCCAGCTGAAGGAGAAACTAGGAAACTCCGAGAAGACTGGGATGGTACTCGAGTTTGAGGTAAGCAGAGTTCAATAAGTTCCAAGATCATGCCACCTATTATTTTATTATTACCATATGTTTCGGTCTATAAATCGAACAATTCCTTAAGGTCCTTCGTACAAGTTGCACTTACACGGTCGGCACGGCGATACTGTATTGATAAGCCCGTACACGTGTAATGTGATCGCGATATACGCACAAGTGGGAGCAAGTTTCATATTCTTGCCAACAAATCGAACGTGTTATAACTCTCGCAGCAAATTTGCACAGTTGAGGTCCATACTTTTAAAGAAAAAAATGCATATAAGTCACACCGTTGTATAAAACGCATCGGCGGAAATGTTGTAAAAAAGACCATGACGTTTACTCCGCAAAATATGGTATACTTACCTTAATTTCACACTCTTCTTTTTTGAGTGCATTCTGACCCCCTGCATATTCCAGACGATCTTGAAATAAACCAAAAGCTCGATACATATCAGGCATAGAAAGGTTTGTTTTTGTTGAGCACCTTTGAATTGGAAATGTGGTTTCTTTTATTCTCAACCTTTTCCAGAAACTTGGGGATGTGATAGAGGACCCTAAGACGTGTTGCGTGGGAATGATGGACATGAATGTGGGCAAGAACAGATACGACTTCATTGTACCCTGTAAGTCAAACCTATGTTAACGTTACCTTGGTTGCATCAGCAACTATCCTTTGTTTAATTTGTGCAGAGTGCAGTGAAACAGAACAGGCAGATCTAAAAAGGTTTTATTTTTATTTGTTACAAAAACCTTCCTCGTACATTGCATGGAAGAACACAAAAGTCTTCGCCAAAGGCATCTACATTGCACATAATATAGAAAGTAATCATAGTAGAAATTGCCCTTATTCATTCTTATGAGGGTAATTAATTGCATCCAAAATTATGTTAAAACTGAGTGAATAGCCGAACACATATTCTCCCTCAGTAAAATGACACAAGTCATATAAAAATACCCATTGGCTCTATTGAAAATAACCAAGAAGAGAGCAAAATATGCATAACGTTGGTCCATTCCTATGTGGAAAGCAAGTCGTCTGCGTCTTGTGCAGGGGTTACAGTGATGTCAGAACGATGCAGAGTTCCGACTGGCCTTGATTGGAAGGATAGTGGGAGACCTCAATGCTCGATGCCTCGAGGTCTACCCACTATCCTTCCAGTCGGAGCCAATCAGAGCTCGGCTACAACCCCTGCGCAAGAAGCAGACGAGCTTGCGCTCCATATTGCGTAGTTAGGAAAGACCATAGTCCCCGAATATCCGAATATATCAAGTAATCAAATGTTTTTGGATGTCTATGCACATTGTAAAAATAAAAACTAGTAGTTACCTGCGCTATTCCGCTTTATAGTATCTTCCACTGCACCCAATATTTGCTTGTAAAGGGAGAAAAATTAATAGCTGAGTATAGTTCAGCTGTAGAAGAATGCACCGCTAGTTGACAATGGGTTTACCTTGTTGGGGTTTGTAACTGGGAACATCAGAATCACATTCTCTCTCTGCCTTTCAGATGACTTCAATAGGGTTATTTTGCCGGTGTCACCCTCGAGAGACCATTCTTCGTACATAAATGCATCTTTTGTACAGGTAAGGTTTATGAATTTTTGGAACTAGGAAAGCTAATCTAGTCTAAGCTTTTCTTTTGTTCTGAAAAGCCATATAATTTGAGAAGATAAAATTATTATTTTTAGCATGTGTAGTGAGCTTATGATTGTACTTAATATTAACAACTTACAAGCATGTCTATGCAGAGCGCAAGTCTTCTTTTGCATGGGTTGTGGTGACGTCTGAACACTGAGCTCTGATTGGCTCCGATTGAAGGATAGTGGGTAGACCTCAACGCAAGCTGCGTTGAGGTCTACCCACTATTTTTCAATCTGAGCTTGGCGTTCTGACGTCACCGCAACCCCCCGTGCAGGGGGCAGACGAACTTTCACTCCGCATACTGTCATTGTCAAAGCTCATGTGATGACATCGTCAAAAAATGGCCAGTGGCCTTACTCTCAGCTTATAATGATGTCTACTGTCATTGTCAAAGCTTCAAACCTCATTTGAGGACATTGTCAAAGAGTGGCCGGGGGCTTTGCTCTCAGCGGCAGCGACAGTATATATGTTAGTAGTAGTACTAGAGTCTTACTCGATAATGGTATCATTCAAATGGTTGTTGTATCGTAAAATATTGAGCATTCATCCACGTTGCAATATGCTCCTACCCCCTACTATTGATATATCACAAATATATAAACAAAGAATGTACGAAGCGCCCTCCCCCAGCAAAGGTCGCCGCTGAGGAGGCAGCGCAAAGCTGTGAAGTTTCATGCTCTGCGTCGGTGCAGTGCAGTAAAGCTCGACACAAGGGCGCCGGTGCGAAGCGGGTTTGACGAGAGTAGGGCAGCCGTTTTAAAAAAGCTCTCCGCCGGACCTGTTCTGTTTCGTCGGGCCAAGCGAGAGTTTATCCTATCGTGCGGCCCTTCCGCTTTTCTGCAATCGAATCTGACAAGTGCCCATTTTTTTGCAATTATCTCTTCTTTTTGCGTGCATGCTTGCTCGGTATTTTACGGTAATGGTCGTGCCTGTTGACAGCAGTCGCTAAACTTAGTTCCGTCAACCACTGACAACAAACCTTATTTGAATTACCAGAAATTCATTTAAAATATGATGCAAGATAAAATTAAGGTTTGTCATGTGAATGGCTACATATGCAAAGCGGACATTATAAAAATTTTCGCGTGGTGCCCATTTTCGTTGCTCATGTGTGCCCGCTTGAGCCCCGTTGAGTGTGCTTCTCACGGAGAAGTTGTGCACCGCGGAGAAGCAACACCCGCGGAAGCAAGCTCCGTGGGTTTTGCCTCCCTGCAGTGCACTGCTGCTCGGAAAGAAGCGCACTCAACGGGGCCGCGAGAACAAAAAGTATGAATTGCACGAAAATGCCGTTTGAGTTAAGCAGCTTATGAATACATTAAAAACATAGTGGGGCAACCAAAGGATTTTAAATTTGTTTGAATTAAGCAGAAGCATGAAATAACCGAGTATGAACTATCGCGAGCTATTATGTAAGACATGCCCTGCATTTCCTTAGCTATCAATGACTATAACTGGTGGTGGTTCGACACTCACCTTTGCCGCTCGCAGCAGACTTGAGGCCCAAGTGGTCAGCGTGAATCACGAGGTGGGTAAACATGACTGCTGCCGCTCTTTCTGCACCATTTCTCGTAGGGTTACGACCGGTCGCTCTCGTTCATCATCACCCAAGACCCCTTGGACTGCACGGTGGTCGAGTTCTGGCGCATGATAAAGGAGCAGTGCATCTCAACCATCGTCATGCTGTCCGAACTCGGGGAGGGGCAGGTAAGAGCTTGGTTTCGTGGTGCGTCGGGCATAGTGCCTACGCCACCCGCGCATTAGAGTATCCCTGAAATGTCCGCAAAGAGGGTAACCGATCTAAGCATTTCTGTCGTGGGGGCGCTTTAACCTGTGGTTGCTGAAATTTCTGCCAAACGATCGGCTGCAGTGTAAGGGCCCGTTCAAACTCTTGCAACCGAGTACGACTGAGAGAGACGAGACTTGTTAAAACCTCTTAAAATTTCTTAGGACGAGAGAACACACTGGCACGCTGGCGCCATCTATGCGGTGACCCTGGAACTGCATTTTACAAAAGCGAATGTTTTGAGGGATTTCCGAGGTCAAATATGCGTAATACCTATAAGAAAGGCTTGTTTATAACGTTGACAAAAGCTTTTTGAGCCAAGAAAGAAAGGATAATGCGCGAGAGAAATAGAAAATATGCCGGACTGCCAAGTTTACGCTGTGACCCAATAGATGGCGGCAGTGTGTCCTCTCGTTGTAAGAGGTTTTAAGGAACCCAGTTTTAAGAGGTCGCAAGAGTTCCGGCAAAACAAACATTTTTCGTACTCAGTTCCACCCCTGCACCGTTGGCAGGATTGCTGTGAACAGCAGGATTGCTCAGTAGCAATGTCATGAGGCACAAAGTGAGCTGTGACGAAATACTCTAAAAAGAAGTCGAAACCCGGATATATTGAATTCAAAGGGGATAAAAAAAATAGTTCTATATATCAATAATTTGATATACAAAAAATTGCGGTGGCTTAGCTCGGCTATGCCAGGATATACGTAGCGTGAGCTTATGCGCACAAAATGAGAGGCGCTATCAGGCAACTCTGGTGCAGCGTCAGATTTGGCTACTGCGCAACGGAGGCACACAGCTGGGCACGCGGCGGCGCCAGTGCGTCTGCCGCGGCTATGACGTCACTCCTCTAAAAAATGCAGACCGGCGAGGCGCGCGTGGCGGCGGCGGAGCGCGCGGCGGCGGCGGCTCTGGCACGCCAGCAGTGCGCAGTGTGACGTCACTGCTCCCCGCGCATGCGCAGCACGGCTCTTTGGAAGCCACGCGAAACTGCTCAACCTCGGCCAGTGTAGCTCACGCTACAAATTTACAAATTATGTTAAATTAAGCTCGAGGTGAAATTTTCTGGCGTCTCTGCTAACACCGAAGGTCACGACGGGAGCTTACCAAACGGCATCCGAGAGCCGCTAAATACAGTGGAGCGTAGTTGGCGGAGACCGCAAACACCGCCGAGCTTACACACGCTCCTGGCCGGGACCTCCCCACAGCATAAACAACAAAACACGAAAATAAAAAAAAAAATGAAAGAAAAACGGAAAAGCGAGACGCATAAAAAAGAATGTCTTGATCCATAAATAAAAAGTTAAGCAAGCAACAAAAAAGAAAGCTCACTAAATTCAGGCGCCAGAAAAAGAGAGCAAACTAAGAAAAACGGGAAATACAATAACGACAAAAGAAAAAGGTAAAGATAAGGCGTTCAAAGTGCGATTGCATAACCGTTGTTGTCGACACACTCAACTTGCAGAGGACTTTTTTTTTTGTTGTTGCTTTATTTAGGTTTAGGGAGTCGCGCAACATCAGCAGTGTTCGGGGAATTCAGGCGCAGGTTTCCGTTCCGACAGCGGACACTCCCTGCTGTCCCTACATGCATGCGTGCCCTTCCCCTTCCTCTTGCCATCCTCCACTTTTTTTTAAGGTTCATTTTTTTTTTTTTACAACTGCTTTTTTGTTGCGTATCTTCCCCCTGGCTTGGCAGTCTGCCAGTCAAGCAAGGCAAGCGATGTGCTCGCCACCTGCGCAATCGGACAATCAATCAATCAGTAGTAGATCATCAAGAACACAAGTACGTGCAAAAGAGTGGAGTGTGCATCGGCTCACAAGTGGCTCCTCTTCTATCTGATATTTTTCTTGCCATGTGCGGACGAGCCATCCAGAAGGTACTAAAAGATACACACATAGCGGGTATCTTTGGATATGTGGACGATTTTCTTATTCTATCCACCACAAAAATTAAAGAAAAAGAAGACGGATGCCTCAACACCACCATGACACTATTCCAACAAAGCTGTTTGGGTCTAAACTTCACCTATGAGACTCCTGTGGACGATTCCATTCGGTTTCTGGATTTAGCTTTGACATTCAAAACAGGACATGTTTGTTGGAAATATCAAGCACGATCAGGGAAGGCATTTCTTCCTTTTGAATCGGAACATTCTAAGAACGTAAAACAAGCTGTGGCCATCTCAGCCCTTACAGCTAGTCTAAAGAAATCATGTCCACATCAAGTACAACAAAGTTTTGACACCCAAATGTCTCGGCTTCATAACGCGGGATACTCGAAACCCATGATGGCCTCCATCTGCGAAAAAATATGCCGCACCATCAAGACAAACAAAGCTACGAGTCAACAAACAAAAAAAAAAAACCCAGACCACCCTTTGTAGTGATACCATATATTCACGGGGTTACCCATAAGTTAAAAAAGATAGCGAACCGGCAAAACGTGCAAGTCATCTGCTCGGCACCTAACAAGGCCTATTCAATGTGCCGCAAAATTAATCAGGTACCATTCAACACCAAGGAAAAGTGTAACACCAGGCACCGAACACAATACGCTCCGTGTGAAAAGGAAGTTATATATCACATACCGCTAACATGTGGCCGCTTCTACATCGGACAGACCGGTCGATGTATTAACGACCGAGCACGTGAACATGCAGCGAACCTCAGGAACCTTGCGGGACCAGGACATTTAGCTGCCCATTGTCGGACATGCCTGTGTACAGCAGAGCTCGACAATTTTCACATAATGGGACACCATAGAAACCGGGTTGCAAGGGAGGTTTTAGAGGCCCTTGCTATCGACGAAGGAGATGACAAGTGCGTGAGCATCCCTTCACTTACCTTACAAGCCAAAGAAAAACTCTTTCTACACGGCACCCTTCGTGGGTAATTGATAAAAATCGGGAGAAAAAAATAAGCAAAATAAGAGCAAAAATAAGAGCAATGAGAAAGAAAAAGAAAAAGGATGATCGGAGATGAATTAATAGAAGAAGAGAAAGATTTAATAAAAAACAGTTGGTAGTCCAGCGATCGGTTCGCCAATCTTTTCTCCTTGTCACTTTCCTTCCTTTGTTCAGCTTGTTTTACCCAAGATGTCAAAAGCAACGGAGGGGGGGGCAGGCTTCCTTCGCTATATCGAGTGACCCTGCCATAGGAGTTCGATACGAAAAGACAATGCTTCTATATTTTTACATGTGATTTTCAAGGGGATGTTCGGGCTGTTTGATATAAACAATAATTCGAAATACCCGAGTGTAATTAACCGGGCTCGACTGTCTTTGGAAATGTGAATAGGGTACTAGCTGGGATACATGGCAAAGACGCCTAAAATACTAACACTGAAATACATTTATAAAAAGATGTCGTGATACGTATCAAAAATACATTTGTGACGTATGAAAAGCATTTGAAAATACAAATAATAAAAAGCATTTTGCAGAAATACAAATAGCGAAATACATTTTGTCAGGAACCTGTTTGAGATGTCCCCATACTCCATAAAACTGGTGAGATGCTCCAGCTAGTGTATACGAGGAACAACAAAGAAACACAATCTTCATTAATTGTGCAATGTTTATTACCCACAAACAAGTACTCGCTGTAGGATTTCAACGTTGACGTTTCTGCACCCAAAATAAATACACTATAAAAGTTGTAACGAGATACACCTTCCCGATGGTATTGCAGTACCAGGAATACACCCGAAAATGTATTTAATACAGAAATACAAAATACAGTTGAAAAATTGTATTGTCACAGAGAAATATAAATAAAAAATGTATTTCAAAAATACCTACTATCGCAGGGGTGGCCAGGCTGACCTGGCCTAAGAGCCACAGACAAAACCACGAAACTTCCAAGAGCTGCAGGGGGGGGGGGGGGGGGGGGCAAACTTTTGTTCAGAGTCATAAACGAAACTTGAACTGCTTTCATTACATCCGAGTCAAAAGCAGTTCAACATCCACGTAAGGTAGTAGTAGCACAAGACTACCGAACCACAACCTGTCTTTCGATTTAAAACGCGTTCCATTTCTCTTTTTGGGGAGGGAGGCGGCGAAGTGTGTGTGTGCGTGTGGGGGGGGGGTAGGTAGGGAAGGGAGCCGCGAGCCGCACTTTGACATGCGAAGAGCCGCAGCTTGGCCACTCCCGTACTATCGCAATACTGCCCATTGAAATTGAAATACTGCCCAACCATGCTTTGACGTATGCCAAGGTTGTTGGAAGCACAACAGATCATAATATCTGTTAAAGAAATTTTTGCCAATTCTTTTTTTTAATGAACCTAACACTCAGCAGGATTTCTCGCACTTGCGGGTTACAGTATGTTACATAGAATTGCTTCTTGTCCTTTTTTTACGTGGGTTTGCTATGACAGCATGAAGTCTGCTCGGTTTGATTTTCTATAAATGTAGAAATATTTTGACATACAGAAATTTTTCGCCGAATATATTTCGCTCCCATCAGCCCACTTCAAGATAATCTGCCATGTGTGCATCAGAAAATTGCCCCCTAAAAATAATGAAGCCTGGTCAAGTACAGTATAGAAATAAGACTATCATTATATGGTGTCATGGTACGTTTTGTTGTTTGCTTCATCACAAAACTTGGCAAGCAATGTTTGTAATAAAAAAAGAGAGGTTGTGAAAGTACTGACAGTCAGCAAGTCAGTACTACCATAGTGGCTTGCCTGTTCATATAGAGTCACCTTTTGTTGTACCAAAGAGCAGAGACTGTTCAGTCTTCTTGCAGCATTGCATGCACTTGTTTTGCACACGCATATATGTTGAACTTTCCTCGAGTTTTCGATGTCATCATGGAATTGTGACAAGAAAGTTGAACCTGCTACATGTTACTTTGTCTATTGTTTTTTTTTGCATGATTTGCAGACCAAGTGCCAACAGTACTGGCCCTCGGACGGTGAACTCATGTGCGACTACGTCAAAGTCAAATTTGTGTCCCAGGACGTTGGCAATCACTTCATCAGGAGGGAGTTTGACGTCATCAACGTCAAGGTATGTGCTTTTGTCAAAGGTAGAGTTTAGACTGCCAACACTAGCTCGTTGGTTTTTGTGCTAGCAAAGTAATATTTGAGGGCAGTTTGTTTTTTTCAAGCTCCGTTGAACTGCGTAACAAAACACGAGTGATGAAAACTGTTTTCACACTGTAAATGGCTTTATTTTCGTGGGCTCAATTCCTTGACACAATGGGCTCTGCGGGACTTCATAAAATCTGCCGGTCTACTACACACGCTCCAAGCGGCACTAATCCAGCTTCCTTCACTTAGCGTTTGTCTTGGACATTTCAAGAGCGGTCGGGAGTGACCACCTGGCATTTGAGCCGACTTTAGCAACCCAGGTGCCTCGCAGGGGCTGCCTTGCTTGCACGCTCTGAAACTACGCCAACACCGAACATGCGCACCTGTCACAACTGCAGCACACCTTCTTCTCTGGTGCATCACCACCAGAGGCCTTTAATTTGCCTCTAACTATGAACTCTGGTGTGACCTTGCATGTGGTATTCAGAAAGACTGCATTCCAGGCAGATCGTGCTCAGCCTGACATTAAACGTTCGCCATGGAAGACTCCTGAGCTGCTAAAACTAGCACGCAGAAAGAGGGCCTGCTTTAAGAAAGCTGCGCACCTGCATTGCCCAGACCTGCTCTAAGAAGCAAAGCAGCTCCACAGGTCCCTCAAATCGGCCATTCATGTGGCCCACACCGACTATGTATGCCACATTGCCGACAAGATTAAACAGGATCCGAAAATGTTTTGGACCTATATTGGCCAGCAGCGGTCCACCACTCAACAACCGTGCCTTATATCTGGTGACAGCCGGGTAACGTCGCCGTAAAATATCGCTCAGCTGCTTACCACACAGTTCTCTTCTGTGTAAAGAAGCCATTTGGACAGCATCAACGTAGACCAGCTAGCGTATTGCCGAAGCGAATGCGAATGTGCCTCGTCCATCCAGCTCTATGTCCACCATTCAGTTCTCCCCCGACGACCTACCGGGTGCCATCGAGCGCATCAAGCCATCCTGCTCAACTGGGCCTGACCACCTTGCTTCCACATTCTTCAAATTCCTATTCCCTCACATTGCATGCCCTGTGCTCAGTATGCAGCACTTATTTGCGGACAGGGATGAGCAAAATACATACAAATATGTATCGAAATACAAATACAAAATACTTCATCAAAAATGTATTTAATTACAAGTCTAATTACAATTCCAAAAAAGCATTTAAGTACAATATACAAATACAACCAAATGTATTTGTTCTCCTCCAAATGCTTTTCCAAATACATTCCTCAAAATTTGCGCCAGTGACTTCAGGGCACCTGCATCGTGTTTCTGGGTATCTCATTTTAATTTTGCATCGCACACTCAGGAGCTAGTGTGCGAGGCTCTAGTAACGTAATAGAAATATAATCACACAAAAAAAAATGTAATGAGCTTAGACGTAATAGGTGAAAAAGTGCAGAGCTTCAAGAAGCTTTTTTGTCGATTACATTTTTCTATAGACCAACAAAGAATCGAGACGACCAAGACGTGCAGCACTAGCTAGATAATTTTTTATTGTTGCAACTCGCACCAGTTACGAAAATCAGGACGACCCGCGCATTTACAATGTTCCAGGCAAAACTATGAATGGAAATCAGGATGGAAAGCATCACACGTTGTCACAGGCACTTATTTAGCCAGTCTGCCTGTGAACGTCGATTTAGTCACTATTCTTGCCCTGGACTAGCACCGTAATCACAAAGTCACTAAACGCTTGTGCTTGATTGAGAGACAGTGCATTCGGTGCGGAACGTAGTTCTGCACCGAATGTTACAGTGATAATAACTTTGAGGGATGTATTTTCGCCCGCAACATTGTATTTAATTACAATTGTATTTGAAATACCCACGTTTTAGTATTTAAATACACACGTCAAATACATTACCCAATTTGTAATTAAATACAAATGCAAAATACACAAAGTATTTGAAATACGTATTTCAAATACTTGTATTTGAAATACTGCCCATCCCTGTTTGCGGATAATGCCTTCGCCCCAGACACATGGAAGTGGGCTTTAATCACGCTCATTCACAAGGGCAAAGGCAAGTCAACCTACACCGCAGGCAACTACCACCCAGTGGCAGTTACAACGATATATTGTGCCAAACATTTGAACGGATGATCCATTGCAAGTTGCTTGACTATTGTGAAGACAATGACCTTGTTGCTTCCACTCAGCATGGCTTTAGAAAGAATGGGAGCTGCGATACTGCACTGGCAACAGTCACTCATTACTTCAGCGAAAACCTCAACTCCGGCATTTCAACCGACTTGATGCAGCTAGACTTCAGCAGCACGCTCGACACGCTGAACCACGACATGCTTCCGCAAAAAGCGGTGCAAGCTGGTGTCTGCAGACTCCTGCTTTTGTGGATAGGTTTTCTTACTGATCGTACACACCAAGTCCTTTTTTTATGGATCACGCTCTGAGTGTTTCGCGGTCACAGCTGGTGTACCACTCGGCCCAACCTTGTTTTCGTTGTATATAAATGATCTCGCCCATTGCAACGAAATACAAACATTTCAGTACACAGATGATACCACTCTACTTGTTCGAATGCCCCGTCACGCCAGTTGGTGCATCCTCCAACCTCATTTGTCCAAAGTCCAGCAGTGGTCTGAACTAAACTGTCTCGTCCTGAACGCATCCAAGTGCGCTGTCATGCAGATCAGCCAGTCGCAACCCAGGGACTCCGCATATACTCTATCCGACATCCCTCTCGCTTGAATTACATCTATGTCAATTCTTGGTGTGATATTCACACCTGACCTGTCATTTTTAGTGCATATTGGAAATGCAGTAGCCAAGACCAGACATCTTCTGTGATTTGTGACACGGGTCTGAAAGATGTGTGGTCTAGCAACTTTTTGTGTTTTATGCAGTGCACTCGTGCTCCCTCAACCCCTGTATTGTTGTACAGTGTGGCATCGGTGCCAGATTAATTTAGCCGACCGGCTGGAAAGCATGCATCGGCGCGCAACATGGACCTTCTTTGCCCGCCAGAACGAGCCTTTACTGCCATATGAGGGTCGTCTAAAACGCCTCAGATGGCAGCCCTTGTCTCACTGGAGGAGAGTCGCCAGAGTGAACCTCATCTGCCACCTCCTTGACGGTCCACTTAAAGGGCTCATACTTTGCCACCCTTCCAAGGCTAAGCAAGAGGTCAGGGCAGTTTCAACCCATCTGAGCGCGGACCCGCTGCTACTGCTCCTCTCCAATCCTGGCGAGGATTCAGGATTTCATTACGGCTTTACTCAGCGCACATTCTCCCCTGCCCCAAGACCGGATTGAAGCTACGGTGTTCTGCCGCTCCTTTGCTAGGAATCTGCGACTGCAGCACGTTGGACTGTAGTAACAGCAAGGACAAACTTGCCGTTCTGACGTGTGTGTGTTTTTATTTTTTATATTTTGGGTGGCAGGCTGGCAGGTGCATTTGCGCATGGATTTTCACCTCTCTGCATAGCCTTGCATGCCACCCAGGATGAAATTATCTGCAAATAAATTTTATTATTATTGTTATTATTATTTTGCAAATTTTGCAAAGTGTGGATTTTGGGAACACATGCGGGCGCAAAACTTTGTAATTGGGAGTTGTATGCTAAAACAAAATAGTCTTTAGTTATTTATACAGTGGGAGTTTAGTCTGCCAGAACATGGCAACACTGTTACCCCCTGTAGATTAGAAATTTAGCCAGTGCAGTCAGCTGCTAGCCTGGGGTCTTCAACGTGCATCACGCAGTAGTGATACACAACCGCATGCCAGTACGATGCTCATCCAGATCGAAACGGACAGGGGTGGGGATTTAACCGAGAATCCCCAAGTGGGAAGATATGCATTTCAATTACCACAGGGTAATAATTCGATACAAGGAAGAAAGTATAACAGGACTGGACCAAGGTAAAGGAGAAACACAGAGCTTCTCGAGATCTTCGCTAGGACCGCCATTTTCAATCTCTCTCTTCTGTATAATTAAATCACTTCATAATCACTGTATCAATTTATCTATGTGATCAATTTTTCACAATAATTTCGAAGTCGCAAAAACTAACCTTCACAAAAATTAAGTTGTTTACAGTACACATTTTATATATATATACTGTAGTATATACTTCTCCATATAATCACTGCACAGATTTCGGTAATGATCATGATGTGGCACAAGCTTTTAGATGGCCCTTTAGTTTCTCTGCCATTCCATCATGCGTCATTGAGACCGTCAGTGGCTACAGACGTGTAATGTGTATGGAGGAAATTGCATTCAGTGTCAGGGTGGACGAACAAGCATCCATGATGATGGGGATCGGGGAAGAATGTCTGCGGCAGCTGGCAGTCTTTTTGAGCAGTCTTTTTGAGCACATGATAAAATAACTGGGAACCCAGGTGGTAACCTTCTTTGAGGAGGGTATCCAAAGGCTTGTGTCACGTCGTGATAATTGCTTAGGTCTGTGCAGTGATTGTGTGGAGGAGTAGCTAAAGTATGTATATAAATGTTATGTGTATCAAAGCATTTTTTATTACTCATAATTTTTTTGCCCAGTTGAAAAAAACATTGTGTGGACTATCATGTGACTCAATGCAAACTGACAGCATCAGCTGGTGCCTGTCATCGACAACATTCTCTCTCACGAGCATGTTTATACCTTGCTCCGGCGTGTGCTTCAGCCACCCCATCCTTGCGCAAAAGACTCGGAGCGCTGAGCGGATATCAAACGCTCCCCCACAAGATCCAGTTGAGGCAGGCCCTCTGGCATGGACGGGTATCCATACCCGTAGCACGTGGCGAGATTCGGGATCTTTCCAGCATGAACATTGCGTATAGGCACGTAGCGGTTACCTTAAAGGCAATCGGGTCACTGTCCGGGTACAACGACTGAAGAACCTCGCGGCAAGCCGCCGGCAAAGACAACAAGTCTTCTGTAAACCACAGTCGATCGCACATGGAACCGCTAGTGTGCTCAATCCCAACACCCAAGGTGGGACCGAGCGACTGGGCGGCCAACAAACAGGTGACCGAAAGCGAGAAAGAGCAGGTGGGGCCCCCTCCTGGCACCAAAGTCAACTGCAGTGAGCGCGACGCGAGGCTCACTCAGTAAAACAAGCTCAATACAGCTGATGCTGTAAAAACAACCCTCGTACTCCCTTTAAATGTCTTGCCCCTGTGCCTGTTCCAGCAGCAAGGGGACAGCCATCGGACAACGCAGTTGCAGTACCTGGGCTGGGTCGGGCAACCTGTCATGGACGCCGACAGCACGGCAAGCGTCCTGTGCCTCGTCGAGTGTGCCCAGCAGGGACAGATGCAGCACCCAAACAGCGGTCCCATCACTGTGCACTGCAGGTGAGGCATCGGTCATGTACGCACGCCGTCACCTGACTGCACCGCACTCAATTTAGTTCATAATTTTTTCAGCATGTTGAAAGGGACCCGCGATATAGCTCGGCCCGAACCTAAGGCCAGGCCGGAGGACAGACAGAGGAGAGCCAGATCAAGGCATACACACTACTGACTTCAGAGTCATGTGCACTCCTTTTATTAGCAGAAATGGTAGTGTCCTCGCATTTACTGTTGCGGATTATATGAGCTGAAACGGTTCTTCGTGCTTTTTGGCGAATCTGCCAGTTTTTGAGAGAACTGGGGTCTGAAATGGGAATGGAATGCAAAGTTGAGGTCCCATACTAGGGGCTTTTTTGATAAATTGAAGGATAATAGAGCTTGTCTAGATTGCAGACAGAAAGAAGCCGGTTTGGGTGTTTCATCTCATATTGTCCACGGGTATGTGTGACGGTTGCCAATTATCACAGGACTATGTAAAGGAAGCTGGATGTAGGGAATCGGACAATTCCTCTTCATCTCACGTGAGGTCTTATTTGGGTTTTCCTCGGGAACTTTGCGCGAGGCGTACACCAAGGGCTCCCGGTGTCGTTGACCTTGAGGGACACCTATACACCTTGGACGACATCCAAAGAACCCCGTTCGGTCTTGGCGCGGATGTAGTAAAGCTGCGCAGGGGTGTACAAAGCCTGTAAACAACAATGCAGGTATGTACTAGGGAGCATTCAGCGTAGAGCCATGCATTAAGGAATAGCTTGGATCCGCTAAAGCACCTGCTTAAACTGGGATACTTTATTTAGTTGCAGCGACAGCCAAAGAAATTTGGGAGCTTGGGGAACCCTTTGAGTACTCTAGGGAATCCCCCCTGCTCCCAGTGCCCAGCTTGAGAACCCGTGGTGCACACTGACCTGACTGCGCGACAGCTTCCTTCAATATTTTTTTTTGCTACTTTTGCGACCTAGCTTCTTATAGGAATTCTTTTTCCACGAGGACCACTGCATGTAAACAAAGTAGTAAACCCTTTTAATGCTTTCTGATCATGATGTGTTTATTGTGAATGATGACTAACCAGAGTGAACAAATCATTCCATGGTTTGTACCTTCAGCTAATTAAGTGTTTTTTTGTTTTGTTTCTTGTTGCTGCAGCGGTGGTGGAGATCGGAGCAGCGTCTTTGTGACGTTGAGCGTCCTGATTCAGCAGCTGAAGGCTGAAGAGCGGGTGGACGTTTTCCAGGCGGCTCGCTACACGCGCTCCCAGCGGCACTGCATGTTGCAGACGCCGGTATGTATTACACGTGTCGATTCCAGTGTCACGAGAAGCACTTCGTGTTCAGTTGTGGAGCTTCTTATCTCATCATTCCTTTGCGCCCGAATCGAAAATTTTCTGGCACCAGCCCAATAGGCGACGCGAGCGCCACGCCTGGCTGGCAGGGTACTGAGAGTGCCACGGGCATCTGGTTTTGTCAGCTCCGCGTTTCATCTTGGTGCATGTTCTAGAATTGTAGTAGCTCCAACCTTGACCCAAGCGTGGGTGCAGACAGGAACAGCTGTAGGAACGAGCTCCCATCTTCCACAATGTCATTGCCAATTTTGTGTTTGTAAACTGTCATAACATCTCCGCCGCTAAAGTAGAGACCACACTCATGGTAGCTTGTTGAGAGGGTCCTGCTTGTGCGCAATATAGCACAGTCTCAAGCTTGTTTCTTTTCTATGTCTGCCGGTGGCTTAAAAAAGTGCCACTTTTCTTTGTTGCTCTTGTAGCTGCTCGTACTCCCGGGTATAGGACACGGCAGCATAACCACAAACCTGCTTAACTTCAAGAAGAACAGTTCCCTGACATTCTTTTTTTTTTAAATTATTTTTACTCTGCTTCATATTTGTTTGTGAAAAAAAAGTGAAGTCCTCTTCACTATTCCCTAGGAAGACCACACGACAAATATTACGACCTAGTTCTGTTTCTTAAACGGTTTGGCAAAGTTCGGAATCTGCCAAGTTGTCAAAATCGGCTCACTCTAGCGGACGAATCAAGGCGCAATCAACAGCGCAGTCAAGGCTACAGCGTTGCCTTAGCCAACATTGAGCTAAGCACCATCAACATTGCCCCTTTTTGTTTGTTTTTACTTCTCCGGCCAATCTTAACTGGTGTCGTCAGCAACGTTTCTTCTCGGCACTCAGCGGTGTCCATGTGATTGGCGTAACGCGCCTGCGCAGCCTGCTTCTTGAGAGCCACCTGGCCGTCCTGCCATTATTGCCGTCTCCCGCGTCACAACCGCCGTCACCGTGTCATCATTTGTGCAAAAGAAAGGGATAGCTAGAACGTTAGGGACAAAAGCACAGAGAGAAGAAGCAGACATACACACCGCTGACTATCAACTGTGACTTTATACTTCTTGATTATCTTAACCCAAGTTTGTAGCTCTTTTTTTATTATTCTGCACATAAAATAACGCCAGTAAATTAAATTAAATTTTGACCCGTTACACATTTCCCTCTCACCCCAACCTACCTAACTGCACCAACAACTTATCCCCCTTATTTGCCCTCACGCAGACGTGACACATCGCAAGAACTTTTTTCTTTTTTGCTGACCGTGATGCAACACTGCACACAGAAGTGTTAAACTGGTGTGTACGAGATTCCCATGTCCTGAGGGAAATGGTACATCGGGCAAACAGGCCACCGCATTAACGACCGAGTCACCTTTGCGCGCGAAATTCTAGAGGCCATGGTCATTGAGCAAAGTGCCGATTGATGTGTAAGCATGACCTTCCATCATGGTCAGCAAAAAAAGTTTTCGCGCTGTGGCACATCCTCGCGAGGGCAAATAAGAGGGATGAAGTGTTGGTGGAGTTGGGTAGGTTGGGGTGAGAGGGAAATGTGTAATGGGTAAACATTTTATTTTATTTATTGGCATTATTTTATGTGCAGAATAAAAAGAAAAAAAGGGAAACAAATTCGTGTTAAAGGGGCCCTGCAAGGACTTTTTTACTGGTCCTTAATTTGCACCAAACCTGAGTGCAGTGAACGTAGTAGCTGCGAACAACACCTCACAGATGACAAGGCCATATGAACTTTTTTTGTTGTTGTTGCTGTTTTTTTTCGGTAGTAACTGAACTTTTCTTTTCTCGAATTTCGCTTTATTTTAAAAGTAATAGGCAAATTAACCCCTTAACTAAGGAGCGCGCTGTCTTTAGACGCGCATCAATTTTGACCGCAGATTGGGGGGCGCGTCTGTAGACGCGCTGCACTTCCTTTGCTGTTGGGAAGCGCGTCTTTAAACGCTTGCTCAGTTTAGCGTGTAAGTAGGATGCGCCATCTATCCTCGTGTATCGGAAACAGTTTTAGTTTTAAGAAGGATGCATACATGCCACTTTTGACAGTTTGTTTGGAAAATGGCTTCCAGCAAACGCCAGCGCGTCTCTTGACCAACGAAGAAATCGCTGAACCGCTGCTAAATACACTCGCAAGGACAGCGACTGCAATGTTGATATCTCGAGTTCGATGGAATGCTTCTCGGGATCCGACACGAAAATTGAAGATGACACAGCGGAACAATGGACCTTTTTCAAGAAGCGTTCTGCGCATGCACAAGCACCCGATGCCAAGTGGCGGAAGTCTGCACGAAAAATCGAGGAAATTCGGAAAAAGGCTGTGGGTCAGCAAGTAGAACAAGTAATTGCAGCATATATATGTATATAATTGTGTTACACAGAAAAAGAAAGTGGACGGAAAGAAAAACACAATGTTTTGGAGGACGCCACCGATGCCCCTCTTTAAAGTCGCGTTGGGCTCGCGCCGCAGCTCAGAGAGCAAAAGAAACTGGTAGTGTAGCTCCTATTATCGATTGGTAGCGCAGGTAGGTCACTTCCTCGATTTTTAGTTCGTGCAGCCACCGCCTGGTGCCGTCGGTATGTGGAAAAGGACCATTGTTTATAGAAACACCATCAACTTCGGGGTCTGCTGCAACCTGGCAAGACGCCAGCACAGTGAAAGATCCATTTCGGATTGTAGGAAGTGCCAGGGTGCAGATCCAACATAATATAAATAAATCTGTTTTAGGTTTTGAGATTATTGTTATACCTATGAGAACTAGAAACACTTAAAAAAAAAAAAAACTCCCCATTTCACAGATATTTTTGGTCAAAAAAGTCCCCAGTTAAGGGGTTAAAATTACAAAAACAAGCGAAAAATGACCTCCTTCATGACGTGCTTGGTTGCTTGAGTGGCCGTGAACTAGAGGAGGGGTAGTGAGCTTAGCGAGCGCTCACGGCTGCCGCACTCCATGTCGACGGCTCGAGAGGGCGCCACTAAAGCATGTTCTGGCTAGGCTGTATGAAGCAGGCAGCCAGGGCGGCTCGCATTGCATTTGCTGTGCGATTAAACACTAATTCGGCATGACACTTCATTGGACACAAACGACAGCGAACACGGGGAAAAAATCAGTTCAGAACGGGAGCCACTTCGCGCTGCCATACCGCCAAAAGGCGAAACCGCAAGCCAAAGCTGCTCGTTGAAGGCCTTGGGAACGCTCGGAACCGGTTGGATCCTCTAGTCCATACAACCGCAGCGCCGCCGCGTACATCCGGGACCTTTCTACGCTCACCACTCGTTGGTGCCTGATCCCACTACACCTTTCTAGCATGCGCCGCCTTTTCCACCGCTTGGTGGCGGGTGTGTCGACGGGTCATTTCTTGTTTCCGTACTTTCTAAACTGCATTTGTTTCTTTTCTGATTTAAAATGTTGAACAAAAACTAGTTTTATAAATAATTCAAATGGTTTGCGCCACTTATATTTTGTATTTCGACTATAAAGAAACTTTTAGCGGCTCTGACCAGTAGTAAGGCAAGGGCCAAAGACGTCACATATCGTGCGCTTTCCACACCACGGGTCGCCCTCGTAGGTGGAGGGGGTTTCCGCATGGTCCAGTTAAAATATGACGCACTGATATTTAGTTTGGGGTTCAGGAGCCCGCTGGCTTACCTGAACCCCAAGGGACGTGGAAACCGCAAAAAAGGTAGACGCTTAAATATGATGCAGGGCCCCTTTAAGGTAATGAAAAGTATAAAGTCACAGTTGATAGTCAGCAGTGTTTATGTCTGCTTCTTCTCTCTGTGTTTCTGTCCCTAGCATTCTAGCTGACATTTTCTTTTGCATCAATGTACCAACTAGCTCAACTTCAGCCCGTTATACCGTTTTTTAGTTAATGTCTCTCGGAGTTTCGTTCACATTATGTGCACAGACTGACGCCGCAGTTGTGCAGACATCGTTGGATAGCGAAGACACCAAAACGTGGTGAAGACCACGGTGCAGACGACACTTGCTCCTGGCACACGCCCGCCCCAACGGTAGCCCACTTCGACCCCGCCCGTTGTTGCATAGATAATCAAGTGACATCTTGTACCACGTGGTAGCCGTGCTTTTGGCGGTTTGAGGCCAATGTTGCCTGACGGAGCTGAAATTTTGGTTTCGATTTTTGCTTATGTTAATAGTAAGATTTAACAAAAACTTTCTAATTTTTTTTGTGAAGCAAATGATGTACAGTATAGACCACTTACAACGTAACCGCTTATAGTGCAGGACCGGGTATAACGCGGTTTTTTTAAACCACCGGTTCGTCTCCCATAGAACTCCATGTAATTACATACCGCTTAAAATGCAGGCGCGCGAAGGGAAATACCGGTTATAGTGCGGTTTCTGGCACAGCCCGCCGGCCGCGCCGACGACCGGAGCAGCGAGCGCGCTTCCCTGTGCGACACTAGATAACGGTGCTGACGGCGCGAGCCGCAAGCGTTGCGCAAGCGGCACTCGTGGGGCAAAGAGGGTGCTCGAAGAAGGGGGAGAAGCGAAGAGAGAGGCTTCAGTTGCCCTAGCGACGGAGGGACGCACGCACGTGTCGTTCACGTGCGTGCGTCCCTCCGCTGCGTTGGAAACAACCGCAGCGACAGACCAATCGCAGGTCGAGGAGAAGTGTTCGCGCGCGTTGCATGCATGCCGGTCGCGGGCCGGCTGCTGGTTGTGATCAACGTTGTGATCGTCGTCGTAGACGGCGTTCATCTCATCGTTCCGCGTAAAAGCGCTATCCTTGACTGAATTTTCGTTGTGTGTCGCTATGATAACCCAGCACGTACTAGAAGGGAAGATCCACCTACTCGAGCGGCGATGTCAAGGCGGCGCTCTCAAGACGGCAGAAACGGCCGTGTCGTCGTGTTTGCTTACTTTCTAAGCATTTGTGTCCTCGAACATCGCCCGGATTTCTTATTTGGCGCATTTCATGCGTGCGCTCAAGTTCAAGGTATTACTGGCGCGTACCGTGTGAAGGATGCGATTTTTCACGCGTTTTCATCTCCGGAGAAAAGTGATTAGGGTTAGCAATCCTGAACGCTCTCAACGTCCGTCCGCAACCCGCGACGCCGTTAAAAGGCTGCGCCAGGCAAAAGCTGCTCATTTCTTTTAAAATGTGTAACACACTTGAGACAGAACTGTACTAGTCTGGTGAAATAGACTTTCCTCAAACTAAGCTTTATTTTTCATCTAACATAAAATAAATTCTTTTCACAAGTGTAAGTTGTCTCATGGCATGTATTTTGGCCTGAAAAATTGATGTTTTGGTTATAGTGCGGTACCGCTTATAGTGCGGATTTTCGCGACTCCCGCGACATACGTTATATGCGGTCTACACTGTATAGTGCATTTTATTAGTGCTTTTTAATGTGAAATCACTCATTATCCCAAAATTTTTGAAATCAAGCAGAGTTGCCCTTTAATTGGATTTTTTTTTATACTGGGTATCTTCTTTTTTTCCCTGGGGTTTTCTTCTTTTTCCGAAGAAATTTGGAGTCGGGGAAAGGAAGGGCTGATGCATTGAAGGTGGCATCATTAAATGTCGATGGCTTGTTGAAAGAACTGTACTGTGTGTCTTTGTCCCTACAATGTTTTATTCTTTCGTTCATATTCAAGAATGTTTTACTGAACCATACTTCACAAGCTGTACATTTTCGACCGATGTGAAGATGAACATGCGAGATATCGCGTACAAGCCGCCACAGCTGCCTCTGCATGATGCTGTCAGTACCAACGTACAGAATTGGAACATGCAAAGGTATGGACGTAGAGCTGACGGAGCCGGGTGAAGCCAGCGTCGCTCTTATTGCTCAGACAGCCACTCGAGGTGCTAGCGTCGATTGTTGGATTCGACCCAGAAACCTTTTGGCACGGCAACTCATTACAAAAATATTAACTCACTTGGCCCACCAGCAAATGCTGCTTTGCGGCGGCCGACTATTCACTAAAGTGTCATTCGGTGAAACATCGGTGTTCGCTAAAACATCATTCAATCAAGTGAGTGCCTCCCCTTTTGGGTCGCGGGAGCTTATCTTGAACATGATAGCAATAAACAGCTAAAACAAATGCAAAGAAAACACACAAACACGACAGTACTCAGCAGTGCCCTGTCATGTTTGTGTTTTCTTTTTGTTGGCATCTTTTTTTTAGTTGTTCATCCCCATTGTGTACAATATTTACCAACTGGCCCAGTTCCCTATTTACCTTGGTGCACCTATTGCAACGCGGGTGCACACTCAACGTTTTACAACACGACCCTCCCGTTGTCCTCCCACCCGCAGAACCAGTACGAGTTCCTGTACCGGGGCCTGCTGACCTACATCGAGTCGCACAACCTCTGCAACATGGGAGACACCCAGCTATGAGGGCTGCACATGCTAGGATGTTCCAAGGTCCACTGGCACCATGAGCGGCGCGGCAACGGTAGCGGCGGCGGCACCGGAGGCTGCTCGTGCGAGCCGCACGTCCACGCTCCCCGACCCCGAGGAATGCCGCTTCCCCGGCGCTGACACCCCGCGGGACGAAGGAGACGCCGCAAGCTCGAAGACCAGCGGGACTGGCAGCGAATGCACGGCGTTGGGAAGACGGCAAGATGCACAGGCCACGCAGTGACCAGCGTTCTATGCAGGCGCCCATACGGACCGCGTATAACGACACATCTTGGCTTTTTTTTTTTCTTTCTGCTTCTCATTGATGAGTTGTCTAATTACTTAGATCGGAACTTCGTATTTCTCTCATTCAAATTCAGCGGTCATTTGAATGCAGCCGTTTTCAGATGTCCCTGCTACTGCTGCCCGAAAACAGACAATCAGCGAATCGATAAATTAAATTTTCTTGTGCTGTACTCTTGAAAAGCAGTTAAGTAGGCTCGTGCGAATTAGTGGATTTTCAGTTCGAAGCACACTCGAAGCAGATGGCGATTGCTTCAACTGAATAGCTGAAGGGGCATAAAGAAAGCCTTACAGCAGCTCTAGCGATTCAAAAAAGTTCACCCTGTGTCTAGGGTGCCATAGTGCGTTCGCTTTCAATCGAGACTTGAAAGAAGTGGCAAACGCTCGTTCCTCCAGTCACATTTCAGCAAGTCCCTCGTTGTTTGTGACATGTCTCGGCCAGTCTGATGGCTATGTGGCTTACTCCCTGAATCCGAAACCATAGAGAAGAACTGTCTAAAGCTTCGTCATTCATTCGCGTGAAATGCTTCCGTCATTTTAGAATACTAAAGTTTGAGGTTGAAGCAAGTGTTGAATAGTTGCACGAGCCCATTGTTGAACAATCGGCAGTTCATGTATTTCGTTTTTTATCAAGGTTATTTGAATATTTTAATACGGAGCTCAAGGATAGACACTGCGGATACCCAACTTCTGACAGGTATCTATTTTTTTTTTTACACAAATTAAAAAAATGCAGTCTTTTAGACTGGTATTTGAGACGCTGGTTCTGCCGTTGTCTGCAAAGCAGTTGTCAGTCATGCTGCAAGTTCATCCTTTACTAAATCTGTCTGAAATAGGTAGCTTCAACTAATGGCAGCTACATTTCAACAGTTCTCATTGAACACCTTGTGTAAACTTTACATTTAACTAAATGCTAATCACTCTCATCAAATAGAGCAATAGCATCTTTGCTTGTCATTGCCATCTCTAACAAGAAGCCACAGTTAATGACCACCGCAAGATGGTAACTTGCCGTCTTCTTCACGCCGTCTTCGAGCCGTCTCGGCAAGCAGTGATTGCAAGAACATGGAAGCTGCGAGAAGGCGACGTCGCGTCCAAGTGTGCGAATGTGTTCGAAGACTGACGTGTGACGTGAAAGTCTCGACTTCCATCTTCCTGGCTGAAGAGAGAGAGAGGAAGTGTTTTGTGATACCATGCATAGAGGAGAATCTGCAATTGAGGCCATGGCTACAGTCGGAACGGTTACAAACGATTTCGTGCTTTCAGTCGCTATCCGATGTTCCACCGAAAAGCTGTTGAATTATCAGTGCCGGGGAACTGCACAGACTGTACAGTTCACCTGGACGACTCTTCACAATTACTGTGCGGGAAATGAGAAACGAATCTTCAGCGTCACGTCCACAGTGTTGTCAGCGTCATTCCGTCGAGAATCGGGGACAAAGCCGCTGCCCTGCCCGGTGCAAGCAGTGGCGACTTCCATCCAGAACTTTGTTGTTGTTGTTTTTGCGACGCTGCATAGTTCAAACGTCAGTGCTGTAGGACTGGTGCGATCTATATCGAGGCTATGCGTTGTCGTGCTCCCGTCGTCGTTTGTTTTCGGACGGACGAATACGGAACCGGCGGACTTTTGGCAGGTGAACGCTGCTCGTCGTCTCTTTTCTATAGAAGCAAGTTAGAGGTGGTGCGACGCCGGTGACCTTTTTACATGGACGCTGGGCCGCCATGATCCCGGAAGAAACAAAAATGGACGTCGAGGCATACTGCGGAGCAACAGACTGTTTTGTACAAGCCTTCGTCACTTCCTCTACTTTAGTTTTCTAATCCAGAGTGTGTGCATGTGTGTGTGTTTTTAAAATGGAGTGTGCGCGAGCGTGAACGCTTTCTTTAGTGGAGGGATGCCGAGCAATTTTGTTTTGCGTTTTTTGGAGCTGCTCCAATGCGGAAGAGCGGGCCACAAGACAGAGTTCTTGGAGCACCTCCCAGAATTCAGCGGTAGCATTGTGAGCTGCAATTTCTAAAAGAAGGAGAAGAAAATAGTCTTTCTCAGATTATCATACGTGCCGGTTTCTCCACCCCTCATTGGTCTTCCTAAAGGAAAGTTGTCGAAGGGGAGAGAGTGTGTGGTGTTTTAATTTTAAAATGTTAGAGAGCAAACATACAATGACTGGAAGATAGTTTTTTTCTTTTCTATGCATACCTTGTAGTCAGCGCTTCTACATTGGGCAGTCTTCACAAAGCAAAAGTCACATCTCGGCATTCTTTGAGAACGGCAGCGTTGGATATACTTCTGCCTTTGTTTGGCACTTGTGAATTTTTGCGTCTTAATTTTTTTGTCTTATTTTATTGTATTTTAACCAAAAGACTATTGCAGCAAGCCATTTCTTATGTTACACATTTAAGCCTAGATTTTTTTTTAATACGTTGTGAAGTCATCTGTAAACTTGAATGGCATTCACAACACAAAAAAAGTTGACTGTTTCTTAATTCATCTCAAGGGGCGGAAAAATGGTTCGCTGAGACCTGGGAGTTCCCCATGCCAAGCCGAAGAGAAGGACGCTGCAAAGTTTTAGAGAATGTCCTACATGCTCATAGAACAGGCTGGTCACTTGTCTCATGAGCAACGCCTCTAAGTTTGGACGAGACACTTTCAGGGGACATGCTATGTCTGCCATAACTGCTACACTACTTTTTTTTTGTTGCTCAGGTTGTGCGTGCGAACAAGCAAAATTAAAAATATCAGCTCTCCCAAACATTTCTTCTTCCCCGCAGTGCAGCGGAGCAGCGGTGCAAAGCTCGCCTTTCAGGCAGGCGAGCATGGGACGCACTGACTAACCAGTTGAGAACGAAAATGATGATACATGCGGGTCAGACACTTGTTTTGCAATCGGAAGCCAGAGATCAAACTGTAGCAGGTATATCGGCGTATGCTGCGGGTTTCACGCATGTTTTTGTGATAAGTATAACAGCTTTCGCCCAGGTTACAAGCTCATTCTAGAATCTCAACGGCCTGACACCACTTCCTCGTGAGAAATGGCATGCAAGTTAGTCTCGTATCTACAGAGGCCTCAAGCTCATTTTTTATTTTGTCTTTTCTTGTTTCGTTTTATTACTCCCACTGTGTGTCACAAGAAAACAGGAGATTGCATTGTTTTTTTCCTGCATGTTTTTGGTCTTAATTTTGCAAAAGGGCTTTTGAACAGAATTTTTTTTGTGTGTAAATGTAAAGCATTGTTTACCAGCCAGAAAAAAAAAAAGAGAAGCTAGTCAAGTGCTTTATTGGAAATCAGACTTAACAACCACCACAGCGATATCACGGAGCAGAACTCAATTTACATTTTCTTCTAACATTTCTGTTTCATATCTAGTTAGAAGCAGCCATATAACTTACTTATTTGTGACAAGTCTTCATACGTTTTGTGAGGGGGGAAGAATGAAAGGGGAGACACTTTTTATAAGTATAGTTCTTTATTTTTTGACACTGATTATTGCGACCGCTCGCTTCATTTGCCCAAACTGTTCGGTGCGCCTTGTTATTTTTCCTTCGGTTTTTAGTTGTTGCTATTTTTTGCATTTATACATTGTTGTTGTATGCCGCTCATTTTGCGTCGACCATGGCCCATGCATTTACCGACAGGCTTGTTGGGCGTGCGTGTGTGTTTTTTTTAAATCTTTTTCAGTTGTTTTAATTGCTCAGTTCTTTCTGCAAAGGCAGGATATTTTTCCCTCTTCATTTAGTTGAGAATTAGCACAACTTATATTAAAGTGTTGCAGTCTTCTCCATTTTTTTCATTCTTCTTTTCATTGTATAATTCACCGCCATTGTGTTTCAGTCTGAGTTCGTACTGCAGAAACCGTGCGCTACTGCTTTTCTTTTGTTGTTTGTTTTTCCACAGATATATAGTTATTACAAAGCGTAGCTCTAAAACTCAACTCCTCCCTGACAGATTTCTTTTTTTTCTTATCCTCTTTTTTAAGAATGTCCAGTGCCAATGCCGTTATCGATTCCTTCAAATTGTTTAACGAAATACAAAAGCTAATGCAGAGCGCAAGTTCGTCTGCTTCTTGCACAAGGGTTACGATGATGACAGAATGCCGAGCTCTTATTGGCTGATTGGAAAAAAATAAGTGGGTAGACCTCAAGGCATCTTGCATTCTGGTTTACGCACTATCCTTTCATTCAAAGCCACCAAGAGCTCAGCGTCGTTTTGACGTTACCATAACTCCTGCACAAGAAGCAGACGACTTGCTATCCACATTGGACGCTGCTCCCATGCGTGCGGCAGCATTTGTGTCCAATGTGTCATTTAGTAATTTGAAAGCCTGTTCACATATGCACCGCAGTGCTGACTCAGCACTATAAACACAGCACTGACTTACTATATCAGTGCTGTATCAGCATTTTGCTGCATCTGACCGTGCCTTTTCCAGCATACACACACAATGCAGCATGAAACCAGTGTTGACAGTAATGCTGTGGTGCGATTCAGCTGACTTTGCATTATCTCAGCGCTGCACTGCATGCGTGGACCGGCCAATTGATTATATGCATAGTATATTAATTCGCCTTCCTAGGCTTCTTCAGCATGCCTACTTGTTTTACAGCATTTCTCTACACCTTTTATTGTAATTTTTGTTCTGCCATTGTGAATGTTTACAGGCTGCCATTCTTCAGAGGAGAAAAAAAAGGCAGGACTGGGGGTGGGGGGCGTATGTTTGTGTGATTGAGTGAGAAGGCATGACGTAGAATCTACACAAATGCAGGATCTAGTTCTACCTAAAGGTTCCCGGTCTGGGAACGCTTGGGTTCAGCATACACGAAAAGGCTCAAGTGATTCAGCGTATGTTATCGAATAGTGTATTCCTTTAATAAATTATTCTGCCTGTTTTGGACTGATCACTTAAAAAAAATGTACCGGTCTGCCTTTGTATCTCCTTTCTAGTTCCAGTGTGGAGGCTGACCCCGCCAGCATCGTCTGTACACAAACAGCATGAATGAAAATATTTTTAGGTTTTGATTGTGTCATCTGTAAGTGTGTCTACTACTGAACGTACAAGAAATGCTCTAGACAAGAAAAGTAAAGACATTTTGACTATGACTAATTACTACATTACTACGTCCTGATTATAGTCTATGTTAAGAAACGCAGGGCACGGCCACTCCCAAGAATCTTATTATCGCATTAGAGCCAATCAGTGATTTATCTGCACACCCCCTAGAGGGGCAGAGGGCGGGGGGGGGGGGGGGATGTACAACCCCCTTGTTTTTCTGAAGGCACCCCCTTAATTCACGACTACTCTATTCTCAATGCCCGCCCCGCCGCCCCCCCCCCCTCCCCCTCCCCCTAAAAATTTAGACACCAGTAATTTCAATTCCTGAGGAAACCCCTGGAGCCAATCAATGCATGCAACCCTGGTTCTTTGTGTGAAGAAAAGAGATAGCGATAAGAAAACTTACATAAAAGAAGAGAGTCGAAAAGCATATAAGTGCACCTGAAAACAAACGTTTTGGCATATTTTGGTAGCTTCAATTTTATTTCAGCTTCGCTTTTGAGCACTTCTTAGTTCACATGTTAGAAGAAAACAAGGCACTATGGGTCTGTCAGGTAAGTAAGCAGTATAAAAAGACCTCTGTCACTTGTTGCCAATCTTGGAAATGCATGGGTAGTTATAGCTACGACTGTTTATAAAAGGATATGTGTAGGAAGGCAACATTTTGCTACGGCTTAATAATTCGATATACGGATGGATGATACATTTTAGCAAAAAAGAAGCACATCCTTCAGTATGCAAGTACTAAAGAACCCTTTGGTTTTGTTTCTTGCTTTATAACTGCTGAAGTTTTACCTCCCCAAAGACCTTTATCACCAATACCAAAGACGATATTCGACCGAGAGAGTAACATGCTATAGCTAATGAATCTTTAAAACTAACAAAAAGCAGTCCAACCAGGACCAAAGAACTGGAGAAAACTGACAGCTGCTGAACCTATATGTTGCCTCCCGAGTTCCGAAGACCAACTGCGTTTGTCTACAACAGATGTTCACCTCCTAGAAGGGAAGTTCTGAAGCCGTACCAACTTCGCCGACTTTGGAAGTTTATCTTCCAGTTCGTATTTCGCGCCACAGCTGGTTCTCTTCCATAACCAAACCTTCGACGCCTTCGCATCGGCAGCAGTCGCCAAGCAAAACCAGTTTACTTACGCTTTGGCCGTACTTTTGCAGTTTTGCCCGTTCGCCCACACAGGAGGAGAAAAGGAAATGAGGCTGATGCCTTGGCTTCGCCTGGACGCAACCAGCCACTACATATTGCGCCTTGGACCATTTCGCACAATCTGAGAGCACGCGTTATCGCTCAAAACGTTGCTCAGACTTGACGCGAGGCGGCGGCAGTCACATTGCAAGTAAGGTTTCTTCGTTATATTGGTTATATTGGTTACGTCTCGGCGCAGTCCGGCTTTTGTCCCGACGTTAGAATTCTAAACACAAGCTGATTACTTTATAAATAGACATCCCGCAGACAACAACCAGGTGCTCGATTGAAGTAACTTGAATAAATAAACAAATAAACAAGAACATATAGAAACACAAACTTAAAATAGAATGAGCAAACAAAAAGGGGGGGGGGGGGGGGGGGGGGACAGCTTACATAACATTTGCTATGCTCATAAGCTTTCTCGTAAGCTATTTTTCTTGTAATTATTGCAGTACTGTTGGTACCGTTGGTACTGTTTTCTGAAGGGCCCGAAGGCCTCGTTGACGCGAGGGAGGAACACAACGTTGGAGGAACAGGAGGAATCGACTATAGTCAGTTACAGGTCAAGAAGGTAGCGGCGAATGCCCCTCAAAGGGAATCACATATCCCTCCGCCACCTCCGCATCCAATAGCGTCCCACCGTTTCCGTGACGTTGCGGCCAACGCGCGAGGAGGGTCTTGCCTTTCTGTACATATTTGCTTTATTTTTCGAATCTGACTTAGCACTGTGGAAGCCACGAGAGGGAGATTAGAGTTCTGCCCCTCGACGGGAACAAATGCGACTTTCGGGGATTAGCTTCCCCCCCCCGATGGATACAAAGGCCGCTTTCAGGGGCTCGGTTCCCTCTACGATGAATACAAAGGTCGCTTTCTTAAAAAGTGGGATCGGAGACAAGTGGGAATCCGTTGAAGCGGAACAAGGAGCGTTTCCAGTGAACTCTTCTTTCGACTGCGGAGAGATTTGAAACGGGCGCCAACCCCCGGACGGATTCCATAGGGCCAATGGAGTCGAGTTTTGTACAGTAGCGCCGAATTCCTCGTCCGTGGTGGGGGGCTCTCATTACTTGAACGAGTTAACTTATTATTTTATATTCGGTAAATTGTAAAATTATATTAAGAGCTAACCATGCTATTAATAAAATATCTGGCTTACTTTTCAAAACGACTTCTATATACACGTTTGGGACGTAGTAGCCTACTTTGAAGCCGTTTCTAAGCCAAGCCGTAAAGAATCCAACATGGCGTCTCTTTATTTTTGTAGGGTGGTTCTCGTATGGATCGCTTCGGGGTCGTGCTGGAGCCTGGATCCAGGCTCCTGAGCATCACGCCCGGTCCCGGTAGTGTAATAATAGGGGACTTTTAACAAACCGTGTTCCGCGTATCGCACTATCGGAGCCTTTGAAGCATGCTTTTAAGTGCGCGCCCCGCTGTCACGGTATCACTCCGGGTGCGCGCCTATAAAGCATGTTTCAAAGGCTCCGATAGTGCAGTACGCGGAACACGGTAACAGTTCGCTAAAAGTCCCTAACGTAATATACGATGTGCGATTTCGCTTTCAGCTGTATAAGGTGCGTAGTCATGTGTGTTCGTTGTTCTTCTGTTTCGAGGCGTCCCGCCGTCCAGTAAGGAATCCACAGCTGCGACCGAAATATTTCGAGGCACATTTATTGCACAGATGCTAAAACGGAATTAAGTACAGCACTGCACCTGCATACGCGCAAAAATAAAACATTGGCAAAATCATTTCGTCAACCTCGCCCACAGCTGCAGTTGCACATCGCCAGCACCTCTCTGTCATCTGTGCACGATCTCAGTCATCTGTGCACGATCTCATCACTTCATTATTACATGCTTGGCCGCACACCTTCTTGGGAATGGGCTTTATCACTAACTTTATCACTATCACTTCTTGGGAATGGTCACTAACATATATCTTTACAAGTGTACACATTGACCCACATAATTACGCATTCAACATGCCAAGTTGGATCAGCTGTTCACTGAAAGTAAAGTTGTTCACTGATTTAAGAAATATAAGCTACTTAGGTGGCCCCCAGCAATCATTACCTTAATTTTTACATATTCAAAGCTTCTCACGCAAGCAAGATGAAAATGTGAAATAAAGCTTCGAAAAATGTTGGCACTCAACAGGCTGGATAACTTGTTGGGAACCACGAAGTGTCCGAAGCTTTCTTCCTCCTTGAGACGACGTTCAAATGCTCGTTCTATATGTCCCAGCATCTGTAATGACAATGTGGTCATGATGTTTAAAATTTTAAACAGATTTAAAACAAAACAAATGTCCATCTACAGCGAACAAACTAATGACATAATGCCATTGTCGCACCCGGAACCATGCAGAAATAAATGAAACTTCAAATTAATATATAGGAAGCCTCATTCTTTTGTTTTATTATCCTCCGTCTGTTCGAGGACCGCCAAAGACCATTTTCAAGATTAAACCCAATTGTTACACTTTAAATAAGCAGTTGTGCACAAATCGAAGTGGAGCTAGGTGTATACCATTAACTTCATTAAAACCGTACTTGTTCGGGGGAAAGCATATGTTTTTACTGCGAGAACGAGCCTGCAAACTAACAGCTATGGGCAGCAGAAGTTTAATGGTAAGTTCGCTGAGCAAATAAAACTGAGTACGGGAGATACATACTCACCTGCCTTATCTTGAAAAAAAAAAATGAACAAACAAAAACTTGTGGTCTTGGCATTTGAGCTGTTCGTGCACCATCGGGATATGGCCACGTAAAATGCACCTCTCAACAGTCTCTGAAAGTTCGTACCAAAATATCCATCGAGTTCGACAGGCGCGCGGAACGCCGGAGCGCGAAACTACCAGAGGAGTGCAACTTCCTATACCGCCCATGGAACGCAAATTGGAAAACCCTGGGAGGCCGCAGCGCCAATTGAATCCCCTGGTATCTGGTGGCTGTACTAAAATCAACATGGCGGCACAGCGAAACCAAAACCGAAACTGCACGGCAGCGCCATAGTGTTTGCATGGATGGGCGGTAGCTTGCGCCACCTAGAGTTAAAAATATATATATTGTAGCTTTTTTTTTTTTTTTTTTTTTGCCCGATTTGCGCGTTGCTTTGCTAGGCTTCTGCTGCTTTGCGGCTGGTTTTCACATTTCAATGCTGGTTAATGTGCGTTCAAACGCACACAAGCCAGCACTGAAAAGCGAGACCAGCAGCAAAGCAGCAGAAACCTAGCAAAGCAACGAAAGTGACACATACACAAAAAATATGCAATGCTTGTCCTTTTGCGTTCATTTTTATTCAACAGACAGTACAAAATACAGACGAAATTTCTCACTGTTTCGCACACGAGAAACAAAGAAATGAACAACAAAACAGGATAAAACGTTAAGGTTACGTGCGACTACTGTGATGATATGCGTCCTTGCAAATTTGATTATATAAGTAAGCATATAAGTAAAGACCGACGACGGTGTCTTAATTGCAACTAAAGGAAACTAAGCAATGAGTACCAAGAAAAACAGCTCAGCTCTTTGGTATTGAGTCTTCATCGAGAACCTGCCCTTTCGTTTTTAATATTATCACTTAAATTTAGGAGTGAGTCACTGCTAAGCGAAACGGGAAACCAGAGCGGATCGCTGTATCGCTCATCCTCAGTTAATCGAAAAATATTTAGGCTCATATTTTCACTCCTCGCGAACAGACGCGTGAATCGCTGACAACAGTGCCAAATAAACAGCTCACAGCAAAAAGTTTGCCATCTTTTAAAGTGAGCATATGTGCTCGATCTTGATATGACAAAGTCTTCACAGAAGTCTCCAGTAATTTGACAACGACATATTTCTCGCGGCGAGTGAAGAGCAATCCTGAACAATGATAGGATTTGGTTTTGTGATTGGAAACCATTGTAGCTATTGCCAAGATCAAACAATTAATACTCACTACCACTGCGACAGTTGGGTTTTGTTGCAAACACCTAATCAGAAACTTAAGCAAGAGAGGACCAAAAGAGCGTACCGCACGTCCATTCGAACTCGAAACCATTGATATCCCGGCTTTCGGCAGTCATTGTTTCCCCACTTGGCACATCAGGTGGTGTGTTGATGACGAAAATCCATGCTTGATCACATTACACCAACAAGTTCCCACGAAAAAGAAAAGATAGCCGCGCGCGCTCGAACGCGGGACGAATCTCGCGCCGCGACGCACTCCCAGAAGCGAAACAACCCACCGGCTCGCGTCCCTCGCGCGTTCTAACGGTCCACCGACTTCCCGGCGCCAGCGGCCAGCGCATCTCGAGGTGCGAGGCGCGGGTTCGGAGAGAGAGAAAGCGCGCCCAGACACGTTGAAAGAGTGAAAGAGAAAGTTACGATAACAAGCTTCAAAGCCATTCACACCTTCAAAACAACTTCACCTTTATTTCGCATCATCAGATATATGAATCAAATTTATTTAAAATAAAATAACAAGTGCCAACAGCCGCTGGGAGTGCGGCAATCGGAAGCAGTTCGCCGGACCGGACGAACGTCATAAGTATACGCGGCGGGACGGAAGTAGCCTAGAGCTTCACCCCACTGAAACTACGCTCGCACGACCCTTGGGTAAACAAAACCACGCGACGCCGCCGTCCGCCGTTACGAAGTTTCAAATTTGGGCGAGGGTAGAGCGAAGGGGGGGGGGGGGAGAGCGGCGCCTTCCAGGGCACCGGCGAGGCCAGCGGGTCGGTTTAGAGTTTTGGTTTTAGACCGAAAACAGAACGAACAGAAAGAAATATATAAAATAAATTGCATTTTATTTTCATGGTGCGGTGAAGACGTTTTGTTGAAATGACTGTTAGCGGACAAAGTTTTATATTTGTATTTTTGTATTAATGAGAGCCCCCCACCACCTAAGCGCTGCTGCCGGTGGCGACGCTATGCACAGCGCCGCTGATGGTGGCGACGCTAATGTCAGCGCCGCGAAACTGGGACTGTGACCGGGGGTTGCGGGCGCATCACACTTGTGGGAGGAGCTTCTCCTACCTTCTTGACTTGTAACCGACTGTGGCGCCTTCTGCAAGCTAGTTTTTGCACTTCAACATTAGTTGGGTTTAAGCAAAAGTTGGCGAGGTCAGCGTGTGTAGACCGGTCGTGGCCTACTCTGTCGGAGGAAGTGGCGTTGTTGTTACGCGATCAAGCAAAGCGGCGAAGAAAAAAGGAAAACTTTCGGCTGGTCGGCTTTGGAAGCTACTTGACTCGTGTGTGCGTGGTTGTGCTTTACGCCGGAGTTGCATGTACTCTTTGTGGGTTTTGTTTCCGTCCTGACAACTGGAATACCTTCTCGGCGAGAGCTTGTCAACTTTTGTTTACAAGTTTTCTTCCGAGTCACACAGGTGGTCAAACGATGACAGCCGCAGTCTGAGGTAAGCGGCACCACCGACTTCATCGCTGCCCTCTTCTCTTTTCTGTTACGATCGCCTTTTGGGATGTCTTAAACTTTACCTTGTTTCGTCGCGAAGTGACTGAGTAAAACCCTTTCGTATTTGGCGGCTTGTCGTGAACTGAGATTACAGCGTTGTGTGCCGTTCATCGCGATCTCCAGATATCAGCGTCGATAGCCCTCTTATGTGGAGGCGGCGGTTTTATCGCTTCGACGAGATCAACAGGTTACGTTCGCGTTATCTTGATCAAGTTCATTTCCGCACTTTTGGATCCATACGTACCGGATCCATACGTACCGATGCAGTGTATCTCCCTTTCATGATTGTGTTCATACCGTATTTGGGAAGGTTTGCAGTTTTCGTGACATTTTGAACTTCGTACTTCTCGCTTTGGAGCCGCAATTTTATCTAATTGTGTAGCAGCTTTATCTATCGGCATGGTGCGCGTGCATGCATTCCAGGCTGTATGGATGTTGGCAGCGTTACATAATTCGTGGCTGCGTTCGAACAAATCTGCGCCGTTGCTGCCGCTGTCCGTACGAAGAAAACAAAATGGCAAAATTGCTTCTCTTTTTTTAATTGTTTAGTGCCCGCGAGTTTTGAACCAAGCTACGCAGCCGTAAGGGAAACATATCCCCTGAAGTTGATTTGTTTTATGATTTTATAGAAAACAACTCGTCTACCTTCCTTGGTTTCAGCTAAAATCAAACAAAGTCGTCGGAGGAAACCGGCTCTCATTTTACGACTATGCGCCGGCTTGCCTTTTTGTTTATTTATTTTAGGCGCATTAGAAAACAGTTGTTTCTACGTTTCAGATGGAATAAGTGAAGACGTCTAGAGCGAAGGAGGAATTGTTATACAAAGTTAGAAGATGATTTCAGCTCCGCCGTAGTAGCGATGCGTCGTTGGCTTTGCGTATTATTGAATTCCGAACGTCGAACTTTCCTCTGAAAATCAGTGCCCAGACAACACAGTGATATCTTGAAAACGTCCTAAAGACGTCTAGTTCCGGATGTAGAGATGTCCTGAGGACGTTCTTACAACATCCCCCAATAGTCCTTAGTACGTCGATTTGTCTGACCCTAGTAGGTATTCAGGACGTCCTCAAAACGTCGATTTGTACGGTCCCATTACATACTCAGGACATCCTCAAGGCATCATATAAGACCTTGGATGATGTTTAATTAATATGGTACACCTCTAGAAGGTAGATGGTGCTGTGCAATGCTCAAGCTAGTTACACCCCTGTCAGACGAGTAAAAACGACGGACGAGTAGGAGAGACACACACCACAGAGCGCTCTGTAATGTGTGTCTCTCCTACTCGTCCGTCGTTTTTAGCGCTTTTAACCCCTAAACATGTTCAACCAACTAGCCCAAATCCAGACCCTTCTGTCAGACGGGTACTTTAAAGCAGTTCCAAACGCACGCCGATAAGCGTGAGCTGAATCGCGTAATCTTCAAAGAATTTTATTCTGAACTAATTTAAAGTGCCCGAAATGAAAACAGACAAAAAAAAATTTAGAAATTTGACGATTCAGATTTTTCATAAGCACTGTTCAAACATGGCTGGAGGGTCACCTGCTCAATTGAAGCATCAGTTTTGTGCAATAAAACGATTCAACAACAGAACAGTGCATACCACAGCGAACTACCTCGTGTTTTATTGCGCCTTGAACGAAAAAAATGGAATACAGAATAAATAAATCACAAATAGTGTGTGGAAAAACTGTATGGCAGTATGACTAGAATATATTTTCAAAATTTTTTGATCAAAACAAAATTAAGATTACAACACGCAAAAAAAAAAAAAAAAAGGAAACCAGTTTAGGTGATGCGCATAACTGGTGTCAATGAAAGGCTGGTCCTACGTCGGTGGTGCATACTGTTGCTTCTCCTGCTCCTTCAGCTTCTCGCCGCAATGTCTCGGCGAAGTTTTTATCACAGCTTGCACCTCGTCCTTATCAGCCTGAAAACATTTGTTTTTCTTCGCAGCTCGTTGAAATAAATTCTACTAGACAATCTGAAGACGTCCTCAGGATGTAGATGACGGGACGATGACTTTTCGATTAGTTGGATGTCCTCAGGACCATGTGTGTTGTCTGGGTGGCGCCCTGTCCAAATTTTGAATTTTTTGGGGACAGGGGAGGCGAATGTCTGCGACTAGCCGTGTTAAGCAGAAATTCCTTGCCTACCAACCACTAAAAGAAACTGAAAAACAAACGGATATCTGACATGTGGTCGACAAGAGAAGATGGAATATCAACCATTTTGTTATATAACCTGCCCCCCACCCCCCCTCTCCCCGCAAAAAAATAAAATAAAATAAAATAAAAAAATGTTTACTATGTTAGTGATGGAAGAGCTATGCCAAATTGCGCCATGAACAAAATTCTGCTACATCTCGCTCCGAAACGCCATTTTTATTAAGGATTACACCACAGCTGTGCCGTGATGGTTGTAAGCAAGGCGGGGGATAAAAATATTTTAGTATTGGTCGATCCTGATATTCAGACAGGTAGAATAAAAGGAAAATAGTACAAATATGTATTTCACCGCGTCTCTACTCACTTTGTTTCACGTTAGGTTAGAGCACAGTCAAAGGCTTGAGCACATACAACCACGAACACATACACTAAAAGCTCCAGTCGCGGGACGGTCACTGCGCTTAATTGATTTACAAGAATACGTACAAAGGATGACGGATGCCGTGATGTCGCGCTTTTGACGCTCCTTGATGTTCAACCTCGCTGGCCCCGTCATCGCGTGAATTTCCAGACGATGTCAGGAGCTAAATGCGGCGAGGAAATTTTGCAAGATGGTGGGATGGCGACTACTGGGTTGTTACAGAGCCAGGGGTTTTACTCCCGATGAGATCACTCGATGATCATGTCTGTCAGGTGCCTCTGTCGCGTTACTCCAATCGCAGTGCACCGTGGCACAGGCGCCGTTCGTCTGAACCTTCACCGCCTCGCACCAGCACTCGCGCGTCGAGCTTCGCCGCTTTGCACCGGAGTGCCAGGAGCAGCGGCTGACGCGGGGGAGCGCCTGGGTCACGGCCTGGGTTTTGCGCGAGTCGCTCAGTACTATTACGGGCTTACCTTCTTTGGTCTCGACTTTAAATCAATCTCTAATAAAAACAAAAGCAAAAATATAAACCTACTCTAACTTTAATCTTTTTTTTTTTTTGAGAGAAAGAAGGTTTTGTGTGTGTGTGTGTTTTTTTTTTTTGCGTTCTATTTATTTTTACTTCGAACGGCAGTAGGTAATATGATTCAGTATGACCCGTCAATCATTATCAAAGAATAATTTATTGAGCGATCGATGCAGGATCGTTTTATTATTTTCGAGTGGTGTGCTAACAGACGTTGACGTCTGCTCCAAAGGCGTCAGTGGCTGCTCCAAACGAATATTTTGCCTGCTACAGAACCTGCTTCAAAAGGTCAAATGCCGCTTCCATAACGTCCCTGTGTGTGTGTGTGTGTGTGTGTGTGTGTGTGTGTGTGTGTGTGTGTGTGTGTGTGTGTGTGTGTGTGTGTGTGTGTGTGTGTGTGCGCGTGTGTGTGCGCGTAGTGTGTGTGTGTGTGTGTGTGTGTGTGTGTGTGTGTGTGTGTGTGTGTGTGTGTGTGTGTTTTTAATGTTTACGTTGCCGAATGTTTATTTTCCACCCAAATGTAGCGCTAGCAGTGGTTCGAACCAAATTCCAAAGTTCGAGAACGAACTATGATCTTATTCAAACGTTATAACGGATTTGTAATGCGAACGTGGTACGTTCACGCCGTTCATTCCCATGCATTTGATAGCTTAATCGGCCACCATTTCCCCGTTGAGTCAAAAAATCACTCATAACTTCTAAATAGGTTAAATAGGGGAACCGGTCAGAAACCCAGACCGGGTTCCCACAAGGTCCCCATTCCAACGTGAAATCATCCATCCCATTCCTCGGACACAATAGATCCGAACTTCGCGAGTCCTTTGGAGGGGCAGATGTTTCTCGTCATCGTAGACTCATACTCGAAGTGGCTAGACGTGGGCTACATGACATCCGCCACCTCCGCTTTAGCCATTCGAGAGCTTCGAGCTCTCTTTGCCACATGCGAATCACTGCGGAAGGGTGGGTCCGACGACGGCAGTCTTTGTGTCAAGCGAAATGATAGACTTCTACGAAAAAAAATAAATTCGGCCATTAACCAGCGCTCCGTACCATCCCGCTACAAATGGCCAAGCCAGCTTTTCCTTGAGAGCTGCAAGATTTCTGTATTAGCAACACACGACGGCATCTACCTCGACCAGAAGCACGCCTGACTGCATGACGTTCGGCCACGAACTTGCGACATACATAAGCAGGCTGATTTCTTTACCCGAGAGGGAAGAGGAAGATTCACAAGACATGCCTGCATCCAGAACCTTCAAGGGAGTACAGCCGGTGGCCGTCGTCAATTTCGGGGGGACTCCGTGGAGAATCAACGGCACACTCATGAAAAGAATTGGCCAGCGCCCTTGGAAGCTCCGGCGGCATCTGAACCATATCCGAAGACAATCGTCGACTTCGCCTGCAGCGTGGGAAATCGATGATTCTGATGGCCCTCGTGTCTCTTCTCGCCAGCAAGAGATTTCTACGCGAGGCGACACAGACGGCTGGAGATTACGGAAATGTAGCAGTAGGACCACACGGGGTTCATCCACCCAGAACTATACCGATGCTACAAAGGCGAGCATGTGGCCTTGAACAGGGCTTGCACGGGACAAGCGCGCGAGCTTGAGAGGGAAGCTGAAGGCCCGGAGCTCGCTCTTGTGCTTTCTTGGTGGGACTCGCTCTGCAAGTCCCACCATAAAAGGAATCTTTGACCGTGGAATTCGACTATACCGGAACAACGGGGCCAAGATCAGCGTCAGGTGGGTCCCCGGACATGAGGAAATACCCGGCAGCGAGCTTGCACACGAAGCCGCGCGCAGCAGGCGATGAGAAACCTTACGCACCCG